TTACTTAGAGTAATTATTATAATTACTTTATTATTTAATTACCTTTTTATCTATATATAATTTATTTTATAGTTCTTCCGTTTTTTTAGATAATATATTTATTCTATTTAACGTATATATAGTGCGCCGTAGCTACCGTAGGCCTATAGGGCGGGCCTTAGTTTTAGTTATATATATTAAGTCGTAATAGTAGTATTATTATTAATAGCCTAATTTATATATAATAGTATAGTTAGTAAAAGTATAAAAGAATCCCCGTTCTATTTAAACTACGGATTTTAGTTAATAATATATAAAGAAATATAATAAAGACTATAGGCTATAAAAGTAATAGTAAACGTTATAAAACTTAGAAAACTTTAAAAAAAAGTATTTTTAGACCTCGAATTTATATATTAATATATAAAGAAAAATGTAAATAAATTAAGGATTAGAGGACTAATTTTAAAAAAAGGGAATAGTACCTATCTCTTTTATTATAATATTAAAACGAAATAACTAAATAATAAATTAAATTATAAAAAGCTTAGACCCTTCGAAATTATTAAAAAAGTCTTATCTATTAACTATAAACTAAGACTCCTAGATATAATAAAGTATTATTTAGTTTTTTATATTTTATTTTTCGAACTAGTATTTAAAGGTTTATATAACGTATATAATAAGTAAATAAAATAAATAAGCAAGTAAAATATAAAACGGCGACTATATTATATAAAGGAGTAAATATTAATATTTACGTTATTAATTTAATTAGGACTATTTAAAATCTTTATTATTAAATACTTTTTTATCGAATTAATACGTTTATATATTATAACTAGTATTTTTATAAACGTTATATTATTATTAGCCCGTTTTAGTCTTTAATTAATAACTATTACTCTAACGCGTTTCTTTTTTTATTTAAACTATAGCCTCTCTTTATAATTAAAAGTCCTCTCCTTTTATTATAATAAAACTTTTTTTTTATTAAAAACGGTTTTTTTTTAGCTCTTTAGCGTTAATTAAATAGGTTATTCTTTTTTTAAAAGATCTAGTTTTTAGATTTTAATAAAAGGATTTAATATATAATTTTATAAGCCCCTTTAAATAGACGCTCTATAGCTTTAATAATTAAAATTAAAAAGCTATTTTAATAATAAGTAATTCGTTTTTTAATAAATTATAATTATAAAAACGCCTCGGTTAGGTTATTTAGTATTTAAGAAGTTTATATTATAAATATTATTAAAAGGGATCCGGGAGGCGTTAGAGTATATAACTTTACGTTAAGCTTTAAAAGTATACTTTTTATATTTAAAGGTATAAACCCTAACCCTTTAAATCCTCCCTAGATATTTTTTTTTATAATTATTTATATAAAAGCCCTATAAAACATTAAAAAGAAGTCCTTTTTAATAATATATATATTACCCTAACATATCTTATCCTCGATTTTTTAATTATATACCGTTTTTAGAGGCCTAAAATATTTAATATTTAAGGGCTAGAGTAAATAAAATAAATAGGGTAATATATATAGGGTTATAATATTATTCCCTTTATAAAAAAGCTCGAAATCCGTAAAATAATAACTTTTATATCCGTTAATAATAAAGAGGTAATATTAACCCTTTATATATAGTTTATATACCGTTTAAAGTACCGAGCCTAATCTAGGCCTCTTTTATTTATTATTTATTTATTTTTAAACGTTACGATAATTTAGTTATATAAAAAACCGGTTTTTATATACTAAATAGAGAGGTAATATTAATCTATAACGATAATATATAATAAAACGCTATAGCCCGACGAGCTAATAACTTAAATAATAATAACCTATTTATAATTACTAAATTATATTATTTTTATATTTAAACGCCTCTCGGTATTAATTATAACTATATTAATTAAAATCTAGTTTATTATAAAGCTAGTTTCGTTAAAGTTATAGATATTGAAATTTATAATACTATATTTTATAATTATATTTACTATAAATAAAAACTACGCGTTTATTATATCTAGGTTTTTATATTAAGACCTTTTATAATCGTATTTATAAAAACGATACGTTTATAATTATAGTTATTATTTAATAAAGTTTAAAGCTTATTACGTTTTAATAAAGAGCGCGTTATAGTTAGCGAGTAATCGATTTATTATTTTTTTAATATTATAAAATTAAAAAAGAAACGATCGAGAATTTAGATTAAAAATATATTTAACTAACTTTTCTTTTTTAAAGGACGTTAAATTCTATAAATTAAGTATATTATTATATTATAATAGTATCCCCTTTAATTAATGGGTTAGCGTTATATAGTTTATTAAATAAATCTTAACTATAGTCCGAGCGCTTAGTTTTTAATTATTTTAAATAGCTTAGAGAGTAAATTAAATATTAAACTCTTTACTTTAATAAACTATATTAAATTATAAAAAAAAGGTACCCGATTATATCTAAGTAATATAGTCGCCGTTTCGTGTTTTATTTACTTATCTATTTTACTCGTTTATTATATACGTTATAGAAGATTATATTATTATAAAACCTAACGAATTAAAATACGAAGTTAAACGAATTATTAATTATAAAGTTAAAAACGAAATACGAGAATTCTTAATTAAATAGAAAAATTATAAATATAAAGAAAATATATAAGAATTTATTACGAACTTCTAGAACTTTTAATAGTTTTTTAAAGATTATTAAAAGACGGTACTAACGGGCTTAGGGATATAAACTCGTTACTAATTTTAAAAATAAACTAGTTTATATTATTAAAAACCTATATAAACTATAACTCTTTAACTATTCTATATTTATAAATATTTAATATAAACTTTAAAGTATTAAACTTATCTATTTTTTATATTTTTTAATAAAAGGTCTCGGCTTAACGCTTATATATTAATTTCTAAGTTTTTTAAATATAAAATAAATAATTAATAATAATAGCTATTAATAACTAAAGATAAGCTAGCTCTTTATAAAGCTTTAAAAGCTCTTTACTTACTTTTTCTTTTTTTTATCCTACTCTCTTTATTAAATATTAAATTTTTAAATTATAAAAAATATTAAAATAAATATAAAATAAAAAGAAATAAACTTATAAATTAAAGCTATTAATACGCCGTTATAAGGCTTTTTTATTTTAATATAGGTCTAATAATAAAAAAAACCTTTACTAAACCGATATAGAACTTTAATATAAAAATAGTAAATATAAAATATATCGGTTATTACTAAACGAGCTTTAATAAACTTTAAAAGTGCGAAGCGTTTACGATCCTTTATTTTTATTTTTTTAAATTTCGTTTTTAAACTTAATTTCTTTACGTAACTTAATATAGTATTAGTATTATAAAAGGATAAATAAAAATAAAACTTAACTAGCCTTAACCTGGGCTACGGATATTTATTTATAGGTTTACTATATTAAACCTTTAAAAAAGAGACTTAATATTACGACTTAATATATATAATTAAAACTAGGGCCTACCCCGTAGGCCTATAGTAGCTACAATATACTATATATTTATAAAAATATTAATATAAAAATTATTTTAATAAAATAAAAGAACTATAAATAAGTTACGTAGTAATAAAAAGGACCGATAAATAATAAGCGGTCTATAAATAGGACCAATAGGATAAAAGTAGTTTACTTTTATAAAACCGATATTATAATATTAGTCCTAATTATAAAAGAACTATTTAAATAGTATACGGATTTATATATAGTATAGATTTAAACCGGGCTTAAAAATAGACTTTTTATAGCTTTTTTAATAATTAATTTAATATTAAATTTTATAATCGCTTTTAACTATTTTTATTAAAAACCCCTTTTAATAAAACTATAATTAATTACCGGAGCTTTATTTATTTTATAATTTATAAATATAGCTTTAGGGAAGCTATTTATAATTACGATACTATTTACTTAGCTTTTATAGCCTTAACTTTTATTAATATATTTATTACGACTAGCTAGTTATAATAGGACCGTAATTTATAAAGTATTTATTACGTACTATATTATATATATTCTATTTATATCCTATATATAGACCTTTCTCTTTTATCTATTTCTATTTTAATAGGTTAAGCTACTTTACTATACTCCGTATACTTATTGCCGTGTGCTATAACTCGTGATATATTAGTACGGCACAAGATAGGAGAGGTCATTTACCGTAGCCTTTTCGCGCCCCCATGGGCCAGCTTCTATTTTCGGCAACCGGAGAGTCAGCCCTTTTACTGTCAAACGTGTTGTGCCTTCATTTTCGCAAATTGGAAGGTTGCTCCAGGCTCCAGTGTTCAATCTTGCACATGAGTTTCTTCGTAATCCCGCTTGGAAAAGTAAAAACCTATGCGAACGATAGCTCACACACGTTGCGCTATCAAATATCGAACTCTCAGAAAGGCAGTAGCAGGTAAGTCCCTCTGGACTCTAACAAATGACAACTTTACCCAAAGTTTCTGGATTGGGTTACCTTACAAAAGAAAACAGACGCAAGGGACTTGGTCGGCGCCAAGCATGCAAATCCAGCTTGGTATGATGTCATGGACTGAGCAGCGCGTGGAAAATGAGCCCAATTAAAGGGCATCCGACTCCTCTCCAGCAGCGCTCGCGGTCAATCATTCAAACTTGACGTTCCGCAGGTGTTTGTATCAGCTCAGTCCATCATGAAGCTCCTCGGCATTCTATCCATTATATCAGCGGCAACTTCGCTTAGCCTGGAACCCAATTACACATCATCGGCAGGGGTCGAGATCTTCAATCCCTCAGTACTATTCCCACCTACTGGGCCATGGAGTCTGATGTCAAAGGCAGGAAACACTGTTTACATCGCCGGTACATAATCACATGTCTCACGTCACCCGCCATAATCACTGACAAATGCGTGGGAGCAGGCATGCGCGGCATTTACCCATCTAACAACACCCTTGCTCCGGTGGGTATTGACCGGATCCGCCAGGCTTACGCCAACATGGTCCAACTTGCCGAGCTTGCTGGCACGGATCGGTTCTCGGCAGTACGTCTTGTTGTCTACACGACCGATATGTATCGGTACAGGCCTTTGTGCAACCAGGCACAGACGGAGCTTTGGGGTAACGACGCCAACAAACACCCCCCTCGGTCGATCATTGAAGTCCAGAGGCTGAACGACGATGACATTGTAGAGGTGGAAGGAACTTTTCTGGTCGCCTGATGCTTCTAATTGAATACATTCACTCCACGTCCATCTATCGGTATCCACGAGGCACATGTGGAAGGGTTGCCGAGGACAATGGTGAGGTGTGTGTTCGAGACAATCGACAAAGTTGAGCTTTGAGAAGTTGGTGTTTCTTACGGCAAGCTGGCGGGGAAAGACGCAAGTCGAGCTAGGCGTCAACACGCAGACAAAAGCCTAGCGAGTAGAAACCGTAGTCTCGACCCTTCTTGTTCTTCCAATCGGAACACAGTAGATAGCACTTGTATGAAGACAAAGCTAATTATTTATATCTGGGCACTGCCGTTCTCTCCTCCTGCCTTTGTGATCCTTGTCTTCTCCCACATCGAGAATCTTGGATAAGACGGCTCGCTGTAGCTCTCCTCAAATTGCTTCACAAGCCATGGTCATCCTCAAGCTTCTCATTTCCAGTAGGGAAGAGTTTCTTTGCACCCTTGTCCAAACCACATCGAGTCCCATTGAGTATGGCCCCCATGTTCTTCGATCAGCTCGTTGTTTTGGTACTTTTTGAGTTTCATCCCACCGGCAAAACGGAGATACCACGCTCCGCTCATCTGCTGGCGTAGTGTGGTTTCTTCTCTAAAGTACTCAATGACGAAGACAGTACCTTCGTTCCGGTATTCGAACTGAAGTGTGTCGGCAACAGGGCGGTCAACCTCGTCATCATGCTCAATGCCTTCGGCAATGAAGCTGACCTTGGATCCATCATCGGCCACGACAGTGTCCTCGCGCTGGATCATGAAGGTCTTGACCAGAACAGAGTCGTGCTTCTCGGAGAAAACAATTGCGGAGGAGATGACGGTGTAAGGCCCAAGTGTTCCTCTGCCCCAGTACCAATGGTTGATCGTCTGAGCGAGCGGCGCGTTGCCCCAGTTCTTGTCGTGGTATCCATCGCCGTCCACCGTGACTGGCGACTCGCCAGCAATGGTGTAAGTAGCGGTGACTTTTCCTTGGGGCACCGCCACAAACCAATCAAAATACTCATTGTTCTTGGACCACACGTGGCCCTTGCCAGGGCGCCAGGGCGAGGTCGTGTTGGTCATTTGGATATCGATATCAAGACTCTCCACCGCCACACGAATGCGATACTCCTTGAGCCCCGTGCCACGGAAGAAGTTGACAACGCCATCTCTGGTGACGGTGACGTCGCATTCATCTGTGCTGGAGTGGAACTCATCTGGGTTGTAGGCTTGCAAGACATTGCAGACTCGGCCGTCGGGTGTCTCTAGTTGGATCTGAATCTTGGGTTCGAGTCCGACTTGAGGGCTGGAGAAGAGCTTGGTATGAAATACCACCATGAGCTTTCCGCCATTGGATAGGTGCGAGTCGAAGTACCACCATTCGAATACACCGGGTTGAGAAGGATCGGTTCTCAAGGAGTCTTCCCACTGTTCAACCTTTGTTGTTGAAAGGGAGTGCTCGGGATTTTGTTCTCGGACGGAGAGCAGAGGGAGCGTCATTATTATTGTGTCCTGTGGGGTGAAGTTCGGGTGGATTATGCGACAAGCAAACAACCTAAGTCCCTTTGTTGTCTCAATGAATAGTCACTCAATCACTGTCTCAGGACATACTAGTATTATATAGGCGCCATTCATTGCTGGCTAACGGGCATACGGACGTCTAGTAGTCCGGTATATCTTTTGCCTCTCCAATTATTAAGGTTTCATTTGAAGTCCGTCACCAGTTGTAGCAGCTCAATGGTACGGTCCTAAGACTTGGCTTGCCAATTAATAATCGACCTCAGTCAGACTCGCGGATATTACGGCCCGTTAAACCCGTTCCCGGGAAGTGGGACTACTCGTCAAAAGGTGTTTAGATTGTCCAGGTCTTACCTTAATTATACTGCGAAGGAGATACCCACAACTACTAAAAATTGACGCCCTAACGTTAATCTGAGGGGAGTTGAGATGATTCTCGACCTCATGTAGCAGTGGTAAGAAGAACACGCCTGGTTTCTTGCTAATCCCCCCCCCCTTCGCCTCAAAGCGACAGCGTCAGCGGAATGGCTAGGCAACCAATCAGTTTAGATGGCAGAAGTATTACGGATTTGTAGGAATGACTGTTGTTTCGTAGTTGCGGTGCTGCGCTATAACATAGGAACCTCACGTTCAAATATTTGGGCAACCATTAGGTTTTTGATTGATGCTTCGTCGCTCAATGTTTGGGCACTGTAGACATCAATGGCCTGGTATGGATTACAAGTCTCATCCAAGACCAGCTCGATCTATTCATATGGCATGACTCCATGCTAAGATATTCGATGTTCATATTAAGGGACAAGAAGTAATAAAAGTGCAAGAGTATGGTTTGAGTAACTGAAATACCATCATTGGCAATGTAAGAGGTACTGTTATTCGGACTATTGTCAATCCCAAGTATAGATCAAATATGGTACATTGTTCCCAAGTCGCTCCTGCAAGTTCACAGAGTGACTGATTTTCTTACAAACATAGAAGAAATGCGGTCTTTCTACCTGGACAGATGATGAAATGGTAGTGATGTGCCCAAGAAATCTGCATATATGTTGTGCTTTCTTCCTTGCTCATGAAGATATCGACCAGATTATACCCAGACATTGACTATAATACACAAGTATCCATGTCCCGTAGGCGTGTTGGCTGTGGGACTTGAAATCAGGTGCACGGAATACTTCACCTTTCAGGCTAGTAGTGGTGAATATCGAGATTTGTTTTTGCCTGCTAGATTTTGTTGTTCTTCTAGCGGCAAGCACGACCTTGTCCGCGGTCCTCCTTTCTCCCCCCTTTCATTCACATTTTCTCACTTTTCATTGCGGCCAACGAGGGAGGCAAAAGCTTCCAGTCCCAACCTTCACCTCGCCTCCTTTTTCTTCCCCCATAGCTCTCCTGCTTTACTCCTTCGACCTGCAGTGGGTCTTCTCTGTCAAATTTGGTTTGATTGCTTCACAGACAGAAGTCGATCGAAATCACTACGACTTTCTTGTCTCCCCGGAACATCACAAAGGCCCCTGGTAAGGCGGTCGTTCTTGCATGAACGGTCTTTTGCACTCAGCCTCTGAGATCACAATCGATCATCTCCCAGGTATCTACAAGCGATCACCTTGTTCTATCTCTTTTATTTGGCCTGACGAACAACCACTGACCGTCTTCTAGTGCCATTGTCTCCCTTCAGAGTAAAGAGATCCCTCGAAACTCACGCAATCCACCGTTTATACTACACTAAGATACTCACGATCAAATCATTAACGATGGCGACCCTAAATGATCTCCCTCCTGAGATCGTACATCAGTTGTTCCCATCGTCCTCTTTACTGGAACAGTTCTGTGTCACCAAATCGGATGCAGATCTGGCCAAAGAGATTCAACCAGCTTGGTCTTCGGCATTGAATCTTTCACGTACTTGCAAGAAGTATCGTAACATGCTAGCTCCTGAGCTTTACCGCCACATCAGCATTCATGGATCCAACAGCTTCCAAAAGCTCAAGTGCTTCATTCAGTTTCTGATCAACAACAAAGATGTTGCCTTCAACATCCGAAGACTTTATCTACACTTAGATCCCAGCAACACGGAGACCAAGGGCTTCACAGAGGCGGATCTTGAATGGAGTCACTGGGCTGCCAGGCAATCAGGCGCTCCGTCGCCGTACTACCTATGGCACTCGGAAGATGGGAAGCTCCTCCAAATGTCGGAATCTCGACGCTCCAGAACTCGGATCTTGCACCTTGGCATTCTCCTCGAAATCATCCTTTCGCGTGTACACGGGCTGCAAGAGCTAGGTCTCGCAGTGCCGGGAGGTCTGTTCTGCGACCAGTATGGCCCATGGTCCAGAACCGAGCTCGATGGTCTGCTATGGACAGGAGAGCCAGGCCCTTCAGATCCCCTCAAGATTCGGACCTTTCGGGGTGTCCAGCGGCCACTTCCGAATATCAAGACGCTCGCTGTACGTCCGAGTTGCCTTCCAAAGAGTCATCCGGACGCAACTATCACGCCACTGGATCTCAACCATTTACTCCATTTTGCCCCGAACGCCAGATCGATTTTTATTGCAAGTCGGGATGGACAACCAGCCTCCCCTCTCGATACCCACTCACAATGGTCCAATGTTACTTGTCTCACCATCACCAAGACATTTCTGGACGAACAGAAGATTCGGGGGATGATCCAAGGCTGCGCCTCACTTGTCTCGTTCAAGTATCTGAACTCTCGGGCAGATACATACGTTCCTTACTGGCCTGTGTCACCCGAAGAGATTGTCACCATACTCCGATAGCATCAGAACACGACGACTATTCTCATCACTCTCTGCCTTGATCTCAATGACTGGTATCGAGGAGAGTACGAGGCTATCAGGAGTCTTTCAGACTTCAACAACCTAGAGAATCTCTGGGTCGATGCCTCGACTGTGTTGAAGAAAGTCAAATATGGCTCCTTCAGTCGTTCGGAAAAGCACAAGCGACTCACACACAAGCTCAGCATTTCTTTGCCCCCCTCGATCAAGCGTCTTCACCTGGCAGGTAACGAGCCTCAAGTTCGTCATAACATGTGCGAGGTGTTGACAGATCGCAAGAAATTCCCCAACTTGAGATTGGTTGAACTGGAGGACTTCATCCGGAGATTCCCAGAACTTTGGGATCGTAATGAGGAAGACAGCGACGAAGATGACGCGGGCCAGAACGATATTGACGATGCTGGTGGCGACTTGACATTCTCGGCTATGAATGATGGTGACGGCAATGGTGGCGGAAGCTACTTGCAAGATGGTAATGCTAAGGAGGAAGACATCGGCGAGACTATCCAAGACACGAAATTGTCATACCAGGAGCGGTTCATTAGAGCGGGTATCGAATCTCCAAGCACCGTGTGCACGCTTGGGGAGTTGTGGTAAAGGAATCCCCTTTGAGAGGCAAACAATCAACCTTTCACAGCTATGGATACCGATGGAGTACGGAATACGGAACAATCCCAGTTGGATTTAGAGGTGCAAGTCGAGAAGTGGACATCAATGATATCGTCCCGGGCATTCGACATCTCCTAGACACCATAGAAAAATAGAGAGGCTTTTGGTAAATCTTTCATACGCCAGCTTGCTCATAAAGCGTCTTTCATGCCCTAAACTCACGCGATTTTGCCAGAATGACCTCATCACTCTGCTCAAGGTGTTTCCCTATTACCTTGTTCCGATAACCTAGTTGGTCCATGAGTGAGTCACTGTAGACCCCTGATGGAGAGAGAATAGTGTCGGCTCGGCTTTCAGGCACACTTAATTTTACGGGAAGCTCGCTTTGGCATGAAGGCAGTCGTGGAGCATCAGCTGGCTATGTATGGTGATGGACCGCCTCAAGAAAACAAGCCGCTCTGTTCTTCCAAGTAGAAGGATGATGCCTTGTAGGAATGTATGGTTCTACGGGATATCCAAGCAAACCACACGTTTTGAAAAAAGAGGAGAAAGCAATAAATTAATGTAGGAAAATCTTCAGTAGTTCCTTCTCAGAACGTACCCTCTCGTCTGCGTTCCTTCCCGGTCACAAATTCACCTTTTCTTGTGCTTTTTTTTTTGTCGTCTTTTCTTCTCTTGCCCAATTCACCACTTTTTCCACTCACCCAGCTTGACTTCTTCCTCACACCTCCCGACCTCTTCCAGCCTTTTTACCTCACTTCAACTACCAATATCTTCCCTTAAGGTGTTCATAGAAAGGAGCTCTTCTCCCCTAAGCCAGGAAACTAAAAGAGCTTTCTTTCCCCTTGCTCTCTGGTCCTTACCAGTAGCTGCTACCCACGACTCGATACTTGCATTCACCAGCACCTCCTCTTTCACACAGTGACTCCTCACACGGTGCGCTCTCTGCCCTCTCATCTTTCTATAGTTCGCAATGCTAACGACTGTTTGAGAAGATTTCTTGATTCCGGGCTCGTCTATCTCAGGTGCCGCCTCCTGTTCAGCTGCCAAAGTCACTCTCGATTCTTCAACCGTCCCTCTGGTGGCCCACTTCAAGATGGCTAGGCTGCAAAACCTCCCCACTGAGGTCGTTCTACACATTGGTTCTTACCTTCGTCCCAAATATACTCCCGGCAAGAAACTCCTTCACAACTTCAACAATGACCGGCTCATCCAAAGGGAGCTTCACGGCCAACGTCAGGCGCTTGTCTCCTTGACACGCACTTCTCATCGCCACTACAAACTATTCACATCGTTTCTATATGAATCTGTCAGTGTTCATAGCGGGCTCAAAGCCCCTCGACAGTGGCTGTCGCTCATGAAGACCCTCTCACAGAACGAGGACCTTTGTCGGCTAGTCAAGCAGTTGTACATCCACCTCGACGGCGAGCATACACTGTCGTCCACTGATGTTGCCGATTATGAGTACGTCACGGACTTGGTCACACTGGAGGCTTGGCTAAAGAAGGCTTCTTGGCCCGACGCGATGTACTCCTTCAATGTCTTTGAGCTGTCCTCCGCTGTTCTCTTTACTCTCGTCAACAATGCCCAAGACCTCATTCTCTCTGCAGAACCCCTCTCTCTTTCCGAAATCTTGGATGCCATCCACGACATGAACGAGATCCTCTCAACCCAACAAACAAACAAGTCAACACTTTCCTCCTTGGAGTCTATCTCTATGAGAAAGGAGTATACCGATGCGGAAAGCCATTGGGCTTGGCCTCGTGAGAGACTGTTCAACGCAAGGTTCATTGACGGTGCAAAAAGCCTGAAAGAGACTTACATCGTTGGCACAGCTCTCCAGTTCCACAATTGGTCATCGACGAATCTGACAACCCTTGCGTTTAACGACAGTTCAATGCCGCTTCCTATTCTCGCCAATGCCATTCGAGCCTGTCCTAGACTGGAACGGTTCTTTTGGAAGAAGCCGATACGGAGAGATATGCATCCCTACGCCGTCCATCCGTGGCTGATTCTGGGGGCTCTGGGAATACGTCGGGCCACCCTCCGCACTCTGGTCATCGACTTCAACGGAACCTGTGAGACTGACTTGCAGAGCCCCGCCTTCGAGCTCAGCGCCTTCACACGACTAGAGGCTGCCTGGGTGGACATCAGCGTCTTTAAATCGAACAAGGCCAACTTCACAGACGCAAACTCCGACCCACTCAATCCGACTGTTGTAGAGGGCAGTCCTCTGATCCGAACCTTGCCGCCTTCACTCCGAAAGCTGCACATATCCGGTGCCATGAATGATTTCAACTTTGATGAGGTTCTTTGGCTGGCCAGACCTAACAACCGCGAACCCCGTCACATTCCTGCAGAGCTCGCACTGGATGGAGGCTATCTGGATGGCGACATGTTCAAGCTGTGGGATTATCGGAACGACTATGAACATATCCCGACAGCCGATTTGGATCCTCAACCTTTCCTCTGGTAAAGAGTTGCGAATCAGATGATGACGATCAAGACGCTTTTGGGATGAGAGAGGAACAATGACTATGATTCGGGTTTAGTTTTTCTTCAGGTTATGAATGGGAGGGGGGGTCGAGTGGCAGGGACAATGCGTGGCCGATACAGACGACGGACAAAGGCGTTGCGGCTTTGAGCCAAGGTCCAAGCTGGAGACATCAGGAAACAAAGCATGTCATTGCCAAAGAACATTTCCATACTTTCAGGGTTGTCAGTGTATAATAGTTGCGTTTCTTCAGAGTCATCAATCACGTTTCTTGTTGCTTTTTGCAAATATCAATGCATTCTTGCTCGTAGGACTCTCACTGGTAACAGTCAAACACTACGCCTTAGTATGACACTCATTGGGCTGAATCTCGATCTCTCATCTATGGCTTGCCTGGGATTACCCACGTATGAAGCCAATTCTCTCGCCAGGTCCTAAGTCCGAAGACTTCAGTTCTTCTGGGTTTGGGTCCTGCATCTTTCGGAAGGAGCGGCCTCGTCTACAGCCTTGTGATCAACTTCGATCCTGCCTTGACTTGCGTGTGGCGGTGCGGTCAGGCTTCGCGCTCAAGTGTATCTTTAAGCGGCGTCTATCCTGATCCATTTCCGTCGCTAATATTTCGTAGCAAAGAATGGGCGATGAGAGCTTCTGGCAAAGGATGATCATTGCAAGAGTGCCGCTGGCCTGGGGCCTTGACGACCTTCGCCGATAACGGAAGATGAAGATAGGGTTTCATGGTCACTACTCCAATGCAGTTGCTCGCAGCATCCATAAGCTTCTGTTCGAATTTCTCGTTCCCGTCTCAAGTATTGTAAGTCACGGAATCGGGACGAGGGAACTCACCCAAGCTTTGGTGCAGGCTTTCGTCTGGGAACAACTGTAGATGTCTTGACGGGAAAGTGCTTGTTGTTGTGCCCAAGTGAGCTGTCCACGAGCTTTGGCCAAAGTGACATCAACTGCGCACAAAATCACCAGCGTACCAAGGTTATGCGGCACCAGTCACATGTGAGTTGAGCAAACGGGGGTGTTTGTTATACGTCTTTTCGTGTCTCAAATGGCCGCCGGATCATCCCCACCACGCAATGCTCGCCTGCAGGTGGTCCTCGAAAGTGCAGCAAAAGAGGAGATCAGAGCTTTCTGGATGCACGATTCTTGCAGCCGGTGTGGGTTCGGCGCTTAGCTGACCTCACTGGGAAGTATGGATGCGAGAGTCTGTTTGCTTACTCATTTGTCGACCCTCATCGAATCCTTGGCTCAGTCAACGTCCTTTCTTGGACTTTACCCTTGGCCAATATTATGAACATCGTAATGAGCGAGACTGATCATGTCATGTCTCCAAGATATCAGTCGCAGCGGGTATGAAAATATGCCTCCGCCTGGGAGATGAAATCGAACTTGGAAGGAGACGCAACGCACATGCACGCACGCATTGATCCCTGTTCAGCAATATGCAGTTGGAAGTAAAGAACCAACCCGTCCACCTGCGCCAACGATCAGGAGATCGCTACCATTTTGTATGGAGTATCTTGGCCATGGCTGAATCATTAATTACCCCGCTATCTTCGCAATCTCAATCTTCAAGCAGTTGATTGCTTCAGTCTTTTCTGAAAACCAACCTGACTTGCGGCGTGTTGCTTGCGTCTACGCCGAAGAAATCATGGCAGCTCTAATCGATGTTGATGAAGCCGCGGCGGTAAGCTCTCATATTCATGTTGCAAAGAGATTATCGACTCGAATATTAATCTTGGAAGGATGCCGCGTCGACGATTGAGGACCAGATGTAAATCAACATAAGCCATCATGCGTTCCTCGCTGGAAACTCCCTAGATCTGTTCACACACTGATTCTCGCAGGTCGTCGTATTCAGCATCACTCTCGTCTTCTGTGGTCGACTATCCCACTCAGTATGGCCGCCGTTATCACGCTTTCAGGGCGGGAGGTAAGCTCTTCTATACAAATATCATAGATGCATAAGTGGCATATTCCACAAATGCCCAATTGGACCGATGCTTACCAGCGGCCCTAGCCTACGTCTTTCCCAATGATGAAGTACGTCCCAACCTCTCCAATTCTATCTACAGCATGTTGCTCACTCCTTCTGTTAGAGTGAAATGGAACGTCTCGACATATGCCATGCATTGCTAGTCAAAACGATTGGGAACAAGTTATTCCTCGCACCAATCGACAAGGCCAAAACGCTTCGCATCCTTGATGTTGGCACAGGCACTGGGATCTGTAAGATATGCAGTGTTTTCAAGCTTGATTTCCCTGATGACTGACCAGAATAGGGTCTATTGAGATGGGAGACCTCTTTCCGGACGCCGAAGTAAGCGCTTCATTGTTGAGCTATCAACTCGCCTACGCTTATCCTAATAACGATTATCTAGATTGTCGGAAATGATCTCAGTCCCATACAGCCGGCGTGGTACGTTTGAGTGACGTTTCCCTCTTTATAGCCCGCTGACAGTTACCCAGGGTGCCTCCAAATGTGAAATTCGAGATTGACGACGTAGAGAGTGAATGGATCGGGGAGAAGAAGTACGACTTCATCTTCAGCCGCTACCTCTCCGGTTCCTTAGCAGATTGGCCTACCTATGTGAGGCGAGTTTACGAGTAAGCATAGTACATCCACTCTCCGCCGCTGCATCCTTCTCGAAGACATCCTTCAGATGGTGACCCCATACCCTAGAAACCTAAACCCCGGGGGCTGGGCCGAGTTCCAAGACTGGAGCTTCGAACTCTACAGCGACGACGGCACCCTCGAGGGCACAACAATGCAGTACTGGATGAAGCTCTTCATGGAGGCGTGCGACGTCTTCAAGCGCGACGCAAAAGTCGGTCTCAAGCTCGAGAGCCTGGTTTCCGAAAACACGGGGCTGGTCAACGTTTTCCACAAGGGATTCAAGATCCCCGCTGGACCCTGGCCGAAGGACGCGCACCTGAAGGATATTGGCATGTGTAATCTGATCCAGATGCTGAATGGGCTGGAGGGTTTTTCGTTGAGGCTTTTCTGCGGAGGGCTGAACTGGACTGAGGAGCAGGTGGTGGCGCTGATGAAGGGTGTTCGTGAGGAGTTGAAGTCTGGGAAGGTTCACGCGTATCTGCATTAGTATGTTCCTGTTCCGTGCCCCTGGAAGTAAGAAGAAGACTGACAGACTGAACAGCAATGTGATTTACGGACAGAAACTCGAAAGGGCCTAAAGGAGATGCTTGGCTCGATAAATTCTTCACCCTCTCTACACTTCTAAGTCTCTGCGTCGAGGCAGGTATCAGAAGAGCGTGGAGGTAGTGGCGCGAGCCGTTCTTGCTTGCTACTCAGCCAACTTAAAAGATTTAGGAAGCAGATATTTACATATATCTTTATAGACAATGTGATGTTCGAGCTCACAACTCATCCTTCACCCTCTCCTCCTCAGACTTCGCAGTCTTCTGACGCTCCACACAAGTCCACTCACTCCCAACCGCCTTCACGACCAGAGGAAACCTACAGAATGGGGCCTTGCTCTCCGCCACCTTACCTTCAGCCAGTCCCAAAACAACAGCATCCAACCTTTCCGGCGCAACGCCCTCCTCAACCCACCGCCTCAAAGCATCCAAAGACCTCAAAGGAAACCCGGCCCCTCTGGGTGCAGCACAGTGCGTAGTCCCAGGAACCTCAAAGAACCTGAAGTACCCCTCAGTCTCAACTCGCTCCTCTCTTCTCCCATCAACCTCCAGGACCTTGCCGTAATACCGTCTCATGGCATTGATCGTGATAGCCTCGTCATTGATAGAATGCCACGCAATCATCTTCCCCCCAGCTTCCCTAAACTCATTCAGATCAGGGTTATCGCTCCCGATCATACCCCCAAACTCCTCCACCGTCTCCCTGAACAGCCGGGCAAACTCTTGTCTCGTCATACTCGACGGATCATACCCAGCATCCTTCTTCGCCAACAACCGAATCCAATCCGTAGCAATCGTAAACGGCCTGCCACGACACATCCCCCCCTCGCAAACAGTATTTCCTAACGCCATTAACCCAGTCGCCGCAGTTCCCGCCGTCGAGCCCGGAAACAAACTCGCCCCTTCTTCATCAACAGGTCCCCCCAATAAAGCCTCAGCAATAACAACCGCCCCTTCCGAAACCCTCCCCTTCACACCCTCACACTCAAACTCCCTCCCAAGAACGCTCCTCGGCTCAAACGCACACAATTCATCCCTCGCAATAACTCCATCCTTGACTCCATCCACCTCATCACAAGCCTCGACCGCGGCGTCCTGTATAGCCTCCATCTCGCAGGCGGAAGGATACACGTCCACCTCGTTCATCACCACCTGTGGCCAAAACATCCCCATCAGCAAGGCGGGAAAGCTGACTGCAGGACACCCGACAAGAATCCCGTCATAGGCCCCCGGAAACCGCTGCGCCATCGCGAGACCCTGCCTCCCGCCGGTAGAACACCCGCTCCAGTACGAAAACTCGGGTTTCTTGCCGTAATACTCCGCCGCAACGTGTTTTCCAATGAGCGTCATTTCATGCAACCCCCTATACGCGAAGTTCTCCAACGCTTCGAGATTCGGTTTCCCATCGTTAAACAGCCAGGAATCCGCCGTCAAGTATGGGTTATGTTGGTACCCCCCATCCGTAGTAGCAACAGCGTATCCTAACGCGGTGTACCCCGCCATCACATCGTCGCCGATTTCACCCGCCAACCACCCACCGCCACCAATGCCCAGGAAGCGGGAGTTATAGGTGTCGTGGAGAGGGAGCCAGATGTAGACTGTGACGACAGAGTCTGAGTTTGGGCGGGCGTATGAGACGGTGACGTTACACGCCGTCACGCCTTCTGGGGGCACGAGTGCTGCTTCGGGCTTCCATCCTGAGTTTTGGGTGAAGTTTGCGAAGGGATTGGCGGTGGTGGAGTGATGTATGAGGCCTTCGATTCCAGGAAAGGAGATGGAAGTTGGTGAGCAGGGCTTGCTGGCGCCGTGGACTGCGGTGGCTAATGTGAAGCCGGCTAGGATGAGTGAGCTGGCCATCTTGAGTCTTGCAAACCGTCTGTCTGACGAAGGTCAGGCTTGATAGTTCGTGGTCATGAAGAGTGATACTAGATATAGAAGCGACGTCTCGCTTAGTACGTAGATCGTACTCGTATGCTGAAGCGATGAGTAGACGACGTTGACTGTGGAGTCACGGGGTCCGCGCAAAGTCCGACTTTGTAGCACCATGAAACCCTGTTGACGATCGTTTACGGACTACTCCGTAGGAGATCGTCGGTGAGTAAGGAGTACGAATGAAGTCAGCTAGAGCTTTACCTTGCGAGTCAGCGCAAGGAATTTGTAAGGGAAACACGATCAAGAAATGGTGGCATGCCAACAGGTATCATTCCTCTACGTCTATCATTCACAAAAGTAAAACAACGCCATCAAAACCCCAATGTTTAACCATCCTCAAGTGGCCTCCTCACAAAGATCTCCAATGCCCCCCTCATCTTCTCTTCAACAGCCTTCCTCTCCTTATCCTTAGCTGGCAACCCCACTCGGCACACAGCCTTGCCAAACACCTCGCCGACCCTCCTCTCTCGAAGACGCCGTCTCGCCAACGCAGCCTCAGCAGCCGCGTTGCCGCCCGTAAGCCGTCTAAAGCTGAGACTCCGCCTATTGGGCTTCTGCATCGTCAGCGCCTCGACCTCGGACCGCGAGATGGGTGCCATCTCCGCGACCACCTTGGACAGGGTCGCTGTGAGGAAGACAAATGCGATGTTGTGGTTTGGTGCCGTGGCAAGGATATCTAGCACCGCAGTCTTGTCGTCTTCAACTTCGGGTGGCGACCGTGCTGCAGCTGCGCCCAAGTGAGGAATGGCGACTTCGATCTTGGCCCAGAGGGCTGCGGTGATGATGCCATCAGTCAGGCCGCTGAGGAAGAGAAGCAGGACCTCGGCGAGTACTTCGAGGCGGTAGAGTGATGGGGCTTCAACAGGGAGTGCTTCGACAAGGGGCTGGTCATTGTCAAGTGCCTCGATCAAAGCGACAATCTGGCTGTCACGGGACTCTTTGTCTTTGAACAGCCATGCAGTCTCGTCAAAGGGCCAACCAGGCTTGTCAGCTGGAATGACATGCTCCTCAATCATGTTTGCTTCCGCGATGGCGCGAAGCATCATCACCTCGACGGCTTCTGTGAGCTTGAAGAGTTCCTTGGGAGCAGCACAGCGGACGTCGAGGTCGTATGGAATGGAGCCGGAGCTTTTACCATCCCTCGATTTCATGAAAGCCCGAATGCCTCCGTCGGGGATGCGGATGAGCTCGTCTATCGAGCGGCCGAAACACGTCGGAAGCCACGAGGCGCGGACTGGAATAAAGTGATCTCTGCCGTCTTCGACCCGGAGAACCAGGATATCCTCGAGAGATGACCTGCCGTCGTTGAGGGCTCGGACATTGGAAATGTCGCTAACGTAAATCTCCAAAACACCACTGACTGTTTCGCCGGGTTCCAAGGTAACCTCATCGCCCAGATCTGGCGACTCCTCTGCGCTTTCGTCCGCGGCTGTCCGTTTAAACGATGAGCTTAGCCAGGCTGGTGGGCTAGAAGCCTCAGGATCCTCCTCAATCGTGGGTTTCTCGACAAAAGCAAACTTGGCCGGGACTCGTCCGGTGTTTGCGATTGTCAAAGTTGCCGTATGTTTGCAGCGGTAAGCAACATCTCCAAAGTCGACAGCTTCACCCAGATCCGCCCCGTCCTCACCCTTGGCTTGCATGTCTGGGTTGTCAAGAATGACAGTGACGAGAGGTCGTCCCTCGTTCTCAGCGCGATCCAGCTCCTTTGCAACTTCGGCATGAACTTTGGCCTTGAGATCCGGCACCACCGCATCGTAGTCGAGCGTGAAGATGGAGATGATGGGCTTGTGGTCTGAGGAAATAATCCGCTGGTGTGACGTATATATATCGAGTTGTATCCTGTCTGTGAATCCTTCCTTGGTGACAACTTCCTCTGGTTCGTTATCATCTTCTTCATATTCGTCGTAGTCGAGGCCAGCTTCGCCGGTAGGTACCTCCTCGCCGTCCGCATCCGGGTCGTAGCTGAATAGGACGTCGTCGTCATCGGTCGCATGGTCGATACCCCGCGCCGTCATCTCCTCGTCCTTCTTTTTTGCCTCCTCGGCCTCCTTGACTCTTGTCTCATATTCCTCCCTGTCCTTTCTCGTCCGGTAAAGGATACGATCGCACCAACTCGGAGCTCTTTGTTTCTCGCTCGAGTCAAAGAGACTGATAGTCCCGACGTCGTACTTGTACGAGGGCAGGAAAGTGATTTGTCCTTCGCGCCAGCCGTCGTGGAAGGCCTTCTTCTCCTTGATTATCCTCCTTAGCTGGTCATGTGGTAAAAGAGAGTCTAGGGTTGCTTGCAACGACGCAGGATCGTCACTTGGGTCAGGCAAAAACTCGTCAGGATCTGGTAAAGAGCTTGAAGAGTCATCGAAGCTAGCCTCTGACGATAGAGTCGTTTCGATTGTTGAGGTGTCGTCATCCGTGTAGTCACTCTTCTTTGCGCTCTTGACCACCAGAACCTCCTCGCCGGCGATGACCTTTCGACCCCTTTTATCCAGGTCGTACTCGCCACGGGTGTGTAGCTGAAGCAGGCGCCGGATATCATTGCCAGGCAGTCCATCCACGCGGAAATTCAAGTCACCCACCCAGAAGGCAAAGTCCTCGTCACCAATCTTCTCAGGCTCGGCATCGTTCTCTCCTGCCAGATTGATCGGGTCAAACTGCGTCCTTGTCAAGATCTGCCCAACGTCCCACAACCTTCGATCCAAGTACGTCTGCTCCGCGCCGCTAGCCAGGTGGCAGTTGACAAAGACCATGCGGGTTGTCTCTCCGAGCAGCATGCGCGTAGTTACAGCTCCCTTGTTCCCCAGGTATCCAAAGAGGCCCGTTCCGACAGAGACTGTGCTCACGTTGCTGACTGTTGGCGCTACCTCGGGGGAAGCATAGGCCAGCAGCAGCAGCCCAGACATTTGCTCTGCGGCCACGAGCTCGTATCCATCTGGCATAGCTTCTTCCAGAGCCTCTTTCCACTTCTTCATGGGGCCTTGGTCAGAAGCCATGCGGTTCATGTAGTCCCTCGCCATGTTCAGGTCGACAATCTCCTGCAAGCCCAGGACGTACAGTCCGATCTTGTCGCCTCCGACCAAGTGCACCGAGGCATTCGGGTCTTGTTGGTCAGTGGCATCCTTGGCTGCATCCTTGGTTCCGTCCTTGGAACCGTCCTTGGCGGCCGGCGGACGATCCGTCTCTACCGTATCGTGATCGGCAACGTTGAGCCTCGAGAGCGTTGTGTCGAGGCCATACCCGTCAACAAACCAGCTCGCCAGATCCTTGTCGGTGCCAGGACACGCAGCCACGTTCCAGGTTCCGATCTTGACCCGGATCCGGTGTGGCCGTACATACTCTGCCCGACGAGCGTAGACAGCACGTGCAAGGGACTGCGGCGTGGAAGAGAGGTCGACGGGTTCTGAGGTCGTGGAGGGGATGGTCTCGGAGGGGGGCGCCATCGCGGGAGGCGAAGCCATGCGCTGGTTGCTGCTGAGATGCGAGCAAGCAAAGTGCAGGAGTCGTAGTTTCGAGAGGTCCTTAGAGAAAGGGAGCTCTGGGGTCTAAGGGGGTATTATTCGACTATTATTTGACGAGGTCGGGGGACGGCGCTGGCGGCGGCGGCGGCGGCGGCTAAGAGGGGTGAGACAAGAGGCCGGTCCAGGGTCCTCTGCTTTGGTGTGTGTGTTGTTGGTCGTCGATCAGTCCGGCGTGGCCCGGCGCATGATGTTTGTATTTTGGGCGTGGCTACGAGTCGTCGTAAGTGAGGTCACGGACCAGGATGGCTTCAGTTATGCGCAGGAGTCGACCAGGCGCGAGAAGAAGCCGGAGTAGTAGTAGTAAGCGGGTTGGCCTGGATTGTGGATGAAACTTGGATGCCCTAGAAATGTACGGACGAGCCGGGGCAGAGGGCAGAAGAGCAAGGTCTGAACAGTCTTGAAGTTGTAAATGAGCTTTGTTCACTAAGATATTGCAGAAAGTATCCCAGTACCGGGTCTAGAGTATCCGTAGAGAAAGGGAGGGAAAAGAGACTGGGGAAGGGAAGATTGTCGCCGGGATCTCTCATCCACAGATTCCTGTCGTCGGACGCCTCGTCTCTGGGTCGCAGGACCGGTGACGTGCATCTTTTCCCAGGGGGGTCGCATCTCAGTCACTGACAGCGCTGCGCTGGAATGACAGGGGGGTTGCTAGGGGACCCCTCTGCATTTCTGCACTGCCACAGCGCTGGGATTGGCGGGGTAGACTCGGCTGCTTTATTGCGATAAGACACCGATAAGCCGATAAGGCACCTGCGGCCTGAAGACGGGGGAGATCCACCTCGCACACTGACCTCATCCGGTGCGCCTCTTCCGAAGCTTCACCTTGCTCACCTTACACCTGACAACCTAAGTCGACAACACCACAACCTTCAACTTCACGATATCTGCTCGTCTCCTTTCCCGAAAACACTCGCCAACCCCAAAGACTCACGAATCGACGCTACTACTCCAAGACAAGAACATTAACACGACGCTGAGCTCGCACTTCCGCGCAACACAACACACACATCACCACCACCACAAATGTCCCGGTCAACCCCCCGCCGACGCGGCGGCGCCCACGCCCGTCACTCCTCCCAAGGCAACCCAATCTCAGGCCCTCGCCCAGTCCAATCCGACTACGAATCCGACGCGGCGCACTACATCGACTCCCACCCCGTCCCGGACCCGAACCCAGCCCTCCTCAACCGCACAAACACGGACCTCAACCTCTCCGTCCTCCGCCGCTACCTCCCCTCCATAAACTCAACCCTCTCCATCGCCGCCAACGCCGTCGTCTACACCTTCAACCCCACCCTTCCGGGCTGGGACAAGACGGGCATCGAGGGGACCTATTTCCTCTGCATGCAGGATCCCGTCCCCGGCGCGTCACGACCGAATCCGAGAGCGTGTATCTTTGTGCTCAACCGCCGCGGCCTGGAGAATGTGATTCTCGATCTGAACGAGGTGGATGACTTTGAAGTCATGGACGAGATCTACATCTTTCGCCTCCGCGGGACAAGCGAGGAGGCGGCAGAGGGAACGAACAAAGTCATGGGCATCTGGATCCACGCAGACAAGGAGGACACGCGCGTTATGAACGCCGCCCTCATCTCCGAGACGCTGAAACACGTCCGCCTCGCCGAGGAGCAGAATGCCGTGGCTGGTATCGGTGGCCCCGGTGGCCCAGGCGGCGAAGAGGAGCTGGGCCCCGCGATGCAGGCCATAGGCCGGAAGCTGAGCTTGAGCGACCTGTTTGGCGCGCACAATGGCCTACAGGGCTAGGAGCCCGCTGTTTATGCTGCGGGGATCAAGGCGCGGGAGTCTTCGGTGAGGGGATGGGGTGTTGCGGAGGCGTCTAATGTGTGGGGAATGGCAAAGATTTGCCTGCGTGGAACTGAGATGAAGAATCTTCAGAGGCGTTGAAGTTGATGCTGATGCTGAGGCTGAAGCTGAGGCTGAAGACAGACTAGCATGGTGAGGAATGAACGGCACAAAACATGTACTGGGGAGAAAAGGGGGACGCTTCGGAAAGCGTAACGGTTGAACCAATGATACCCTTGATTAAGAAAGAAAGAAAAAAATCATTTTTCATACATGAATGCAAAGTCGTCATGGGACTCGGTAATTTTCCCAAATTCCTCCCGTCGTGACTCGCAAAGTCTAGGGGGCTGCGTTTCTTTTTCTCTATTACAATCCCCAAAAGCCTTGACCCTTCCTAGACCATGCTCGTGTAAAAAAACTCCCCTCCCATTATCAGCAGACTCTTGAGTGAAAACCATCACCCCAGATCAAGACGCGGAAAGTGACAAAAAAAGAATGAACATCTCGCTCACACGGTGCCACTGATGCTGAGCTCGCGGATCTCCTGCAGCACTTGCTCGACACGCTGATCCAGCTGCCCCTGCGCATACTGTTCTCTCGTATCCGCGTCCAGGTACTGCTGCACCTGCGCCATGCGACTGTACGCCTCGGCGCAGAAGCGCAGCTGGATCTTGACGAGGGCCTCGAAGGTGGGGTCAAGATACGGCACGCGAAGGTCGATGAGCTGGGGAAGTTCCGACGACAGCTGCTCGTTGAGCTGCTCGTAGGCGGCCTTTGCCATTTCCATTTCCTTCTCGGCGCGGGGCAGCTTGGTCACGTCCTTGTCGGGCTTCTCGACAAGCTTCTTGACCTTGGCGCGTAGTGCATCGTAGTCGAGGAGCTTGTGGCCGCGCTTCTTGATGCCTGGGAAGGGTCAGCAATTTGACATAAAGTGTAGCCTGGATTATACCGACATTCGTTTACGTCAGGGAAGTAGGCGCAGAAGCGTGAGATGGGCTCGAGAACGGTTTGCCTAAACGACATGTTAGCCAATATGCTGGTTGCCATGGTGCCGCAAGTGATCATACTGGTAAGGACCGTCCAGCGCCTTAATAGTCTCGGCATCAAGGTCCTCCACCGCCTGCTTGTAACTTCTGCTCACGCCGTCCTTCGCACCAGAGTCTCCGTAAAAGGCGTCTATCGTCTCGGCAATGCGCATCTGGGAAGCAGTCATGGCTGTTGAACCAAAGTTAACCCACAGTCATCCTTGGCAGGGGGTCCGTAGTCGTAGACCGGCAACACACCTCGCAATGAATCCAAGTAGCCCTTCGCCTCCTTCTGCAACCGCAAGGAAGCCGTCTCCATGGTTCTGAATCGTCTGCCAAAAAAAGTCTCAGTATTTTATTCGTTTCGTCCAGTATCTCGGCCCTGGGGATAGGGTACAGCCCACCTCTCTTCCACCTCGTAGTCGCGGTCGTTGGTCTTCTCCACATGGCCTGCCAAGATCAGAACCTCTCCGTATTTGTGACTGTAAGTTGGGCAGAAAGGGCTCACCCGTCTTCATCATCACCTGCGTCGTCGCACGGTTGACATTTTTCTTGAATCCTGTAGCCAAATCTCATCAGCCCAGATCCTTGGTTGGTGGTCCTCTATTTCCTTTTGCTCAGGTTGCGCTCGAGGAGGGGTCATCCAAGACTCTCAAGTCGTACCTGCCCACGACATCTTGGCTGTCTTGCTGTGTGTTTCCTCTCCGTACTCAGTGCTAAGGTTTGGAATAAAAGTTCAAAGGCACTATAATGCTCGAGCGGGTAACGTGTGTGAACTGATCACTCGGTGGTTTCGGCAGGTATTGTTGTTCGTAGGAAGGCCGTTTCGTCGTCCGGAGTTGGATTGATGGGGGGGTGGTGCTTTGGGTGATGGAGGGGGAGAAAGGAAATGCGGTTTTGATTGCGCGGACGAATCACTCAATGCACCTGGAGCACAGCACCTGAGCATGCTGGGGAGACCCAACTGCACCTGAGCAGCGCCCAGAAACGGAAACCGACGTCAGCGAACAGAGGCTTTGGGGCTGCGCCACGTCCCTGTTGGTGCTAGCTTCTCTTAGCGCCGGGTAGCTCTGTGGCTCAGCCCTGTAGGCTGCCTTTCCTGCCTTTCTCATGGTGCTTACCTAAGGCCGCTAGAGCCAAGACGGTGGGCACAAGTGCCGTTTTCCGACTGTTCACTCCCCGGTGACTCAGCGTTGGTGATTAGGTAAGGCAAGATTGTGCAGCCGTGCACGAGGCCAATTTAGCCCAGAAGCTTCTTTGTGCAGACACAAGGTGCTTATACAGGTCTTTTGTGCATACCTTGTTAGACTACCTAGTAGGAGATTGGCCTCAAATTCTTTTATGCTCCCGGAGATATCTACAGTCCTGTCTTTAATAACCTTACAAGTCCCGAACTTTATAGCCTCTCATTCTAATTCTCAACACCATCATTCCATTTCAATTTATACGTTTCAAAACATTACACACAGCATCAAAGAAAATAAATAAAAATGAGCGCACCTCGGTTCCTCCTCATCAGCCTGGGAAATCCCGAGCCACACTACAACACCCTTCACTCTGCCGGCCACCATGCTCTCAACTCTCTCCAAAAACTCCTGGGCCCCTCTCAGCCCGCCTTCCACAGAGGCCGTTTCGGCGGCAGCTCCTGCCTGGCCTCATTCGGGCCCAAATACGCAATGATTCAGAGCCCTTCCGTCATGAACGTAACCGGAAAATGGTTGGCAAAAGCATGGAAGGAAACCCTCGGCACCCGGAACCCAGCAGACCTAAGTCTCATCCTCGTCCACGACGATCTAGAAGAGGAGTTAGGCTTCGTCAAGACGAGAAAGTGGAAGAGCAGTCACAGAGGCCACAACGGCATCAAGAGCGTCAACAACTGTCTCCGCGAGGCAGATTACCCAGAGTCAAAATGGGCGAGGATAGCAGTTGGCATTGGACGGCCCGATCAGCGCGATCACTCTACGGTATCTAACTACGTCCTGAAGCGCATGACCAAGGACCAATGGACCACCCTCGAAACCAACGGAGGACCTGGTGTACTTGAGTGCCTTCTCGCGTTCGAAGAGAAGCTTGACGCTGCAGCTGGGAAGTGAAGCACCCTAAGCTTCCCTCAGTTTCCATCCTCCATCTCACACCTTGGGCGCGCAGTAGCCCATACCACACCCTACATCCACTCTGAGCCTTCAACGTGAAGAAAGGCAGGCAGGCAGGATGCAGCATTAGACGACGGTCGTTGCAAATGCGCTTCTCGATAGACCCAGGACAAGACTGAGCCTATCCCTAGTGACGGGCGCGCAACGCAAAGCAGAGCTTCAAGTCGTCGGAGCTAGGGGCTATGAAGAGGCCACGGGGCGAATCGATTCGCCATCAGTAGGCATCTCATTCATTGCTTCATGTAGCCTCATCGGGGCCTGGCCGCCCATCAAGCCACTTGCTCATGTACGGTCCATCGAGCCAGTACCCGAGCTTACCGTAGTAGCTTCTCACACCTACTCCAGAAATAACACTAATCTTCTCGCTGCCATGCTCATCCCTTGCAATCCTCTCTGCCTCCTCCATCAGCAGCGTACCGAAACCCTGGTGCTGGAACTTCTTCGGGTCTCTGGCGTGTACCGGCACCGCGGTACCGTAAACGTGCAACTCTCTGACCAGACTCGTCGGCTGTCCAACGAGCTCCTCCCGATACGTGTACTTTTCGGTGCACTTTCGTAGACGCAGCAAGGCAACAAGGATGTCCTGCTTCGGGTCTTCGTAGGCAAGGAACGTTTCCCAGCCGCCGTTGGCTGTGTAGTCTCGTCGCACCAACTCGATCTGGTTCGGCCTAATCTTGTTCTTGACCTCGTTAACACCGACCTCGCGCGTCCGCACATCTCGACATGTTGTGCCGAAATCCTTCATCCTAGCCAACGCCAGTTCGCGCAAGTTGCCGTTCTCTACACCAGACGTGACCAAGGGCATAGGAATATCTCTCTGCACTCGGTAAATACGTGTCCATGGCGGGATAAGTGCCAGAATTCGTGCAACCAGATCGATCAAGCCGTTGGGGGTGTAATTCTGGTATCGGCCTGTGCGCCACAGCTCGTACAGGCCAGTGCCTCTAATGACGAGAGTCGGGTAAATTTTGAGGCCGTCCGTACGGAACGCAGGGCTCTCAAAGTACTCCCGGAACTGGTCTAGATCTCTCTCCATTCCCACGTTGGGCAAATCAGGCATCATGTGGCTGACCACCTTGAAGCCGGCGTCCTTGGCCAGGCAGAACGTCTCGGCGACCGCGGCAACGGTGTGGCCACGGTTCGTGTCTCTCGCAACGTCTTCGTACAGCGACTGGACTCCAATCTCCAATCTCGTGCAGCCATATCGCAACATATCCGTCAGATGCGGCTGCCAACAGTAATCCGGCCTCGTCTCGATTGTGATACCGACACACTTGATGTTGCTCATCTCGCTAGCCTCCACCGCCTCGTCCACATTCGATGTCTGATATCCGCTGAGCGCATTGTGTAGTTGGGCGATAAAGTCCTCCCTGTACGGCACCGGCAGTGACATGAATGTGCCACCCATGATAATGTACTCCACCTTGTCGACTGAGTGACCTAGAGACTTGAGCTGGTCGACACGACCGCGGGCCTGCTCGAAGGGATCGTAACGTGCACGAATCGCTCGCATCGATGTGGGTTCGTATCCAGTGTAGGATTGAGTGCTGTATTCGAAGTCGGAGTCCGGACCGCCGGGGCAGTAGACGCAAATGTTACCCGTATAAGCAATGTGCGGACACCTGTGAGGCTTGCACATGACCGCCACTACGGCAATACCCGATGATGTTCCTAGCAGGTATGGTGAGCATGCGCCTGTTTGTGTGGGGAATATGGGGCGATAGCATACGGATTGGCTTTGCGATGAGCTTCGGCAGGATGTATTTCTTGTAATGCTCAGGGATCGCAGCAATAATGGCCGTCAGGGGAGGGATATTGGCGAGCTTGTGCTTCCTCGAAAACTTGTTGCGCAGAGAATTAAGGTTGAGATCCTTTGGCGGATTCTTGGGGTCCCTGATAGCCTCGTGGTCTTCGATGAGGGCATTGGCAACATCTGCGCAGCATCGTAGGAAGCGCTCGTTCACTGGGGGGAGGTTGTCGGTCTTGGACCGTCCCTTAGTGACGGTGACGGTGGTGGTCGCCATCTTGAGGGGTATGTATGGGGGGTAATCTGAGTTCGGTGGGCGCTCGTCTCTTGGGTCGTTCGTCTTATTGTGGTGTTAGAATTTTGATTCGAGGTTGATCGCGTGTTTGCTGTGATTTCGCCCCCGTAGCGTCAAGTCGTCAGAGTCATCAAGTCGGAGTGTAGTTGGGATTTGGAGAGTTGACTGTCCGATCACTTTAGAAATTTTGGAGGAAACCGTCAAATGCAGGTCGCTGGGATGGTGGGGTAATTAGCCACAGCTTCACCCATTCGGAGACGCCACACGTCAAATCTGCATGTCAAAGTCGGTACGTACTGGACGTACCATCGCATGCAGGAGGGGGTGGCAGGCACAGCTGGCAGGGTGCCCTTGGGTGCCTTCCCAATGTTCCCATCTTTCAGCCGTGCTGATTGCCGCGGCTTTCATTGGTCCGACCGGATCATTCCCTTTACCGAACCACCGAATTGGGCCACGGGTTTTCCCGGGCGTTCGGGTCCCGTGCTTGCCTCGTAGAGTCGTGGCTCGCCTGCTGCAGACCCGGTTGTCTCGCAAAAGAAGCGAAAGAGCTCGGTTCAAGTTTTGCTGCTGGCCTTCCCCTACTGCGAGTTTGACCCTTCTTTCGGAAAGTGACGTGAATTTGCATTGCAGCCACAGCTATCTTCTCTTTTTCCCTTTCCCCACGATAGCCGCCATCTGCCATCCTCTCTCACCAACGAGATCCTCCTCCAAATCCCAATACTTTCCTCTTCTTAATTGGCGCTGCGGTTCTTTCGAAGCTGCGCTGTTGCACGTCTTTCAACCCACACATACACACACATCGCCCAAGATGCAGTCCCTGAGACAGATGCGGCCGGCAGGCAAGCTCCTGAACCAAGCCGCGAAGCGTGCATACAGCGCCTCGGCAGCTGGCCCTTACACCAAGACCATCGATAACCTGCGCATCAACTCCGAGACCAAGGTGCTTTTCCAGGGCTTCACTGGCAAGCAGGGAACGTAAGTGGTGCTATCTTCCTCCGACGCCCGAGCAGCCAGCTACCTCAGTAGCACATGTTTTCCCACCCCTGTTTGGGTGTTTTGGGGAGAGGCATATCTGGCGATATTTACTTTGTCCGCGCCTGCGCAGATTGATAGGCATGAAACAAGATCAGTCCAGCTAACAACAATTTGCGACACAGCTTCCACGCGCAACAGGCCATCGACTACGGTACGCGATAATAACTCCGAAGCAACTGCGCGACCCATATCTCTCGCGCATCGCAAAACCTTACTTAGGAAACACTCCGAAGCTGATATCAATGTACATGTACAGGCACCAAGGTCGTCGGTGGAACCAACCCCAAGAAGGCTGGCCAGGAGCACCTTGGTCTCCCCGTCTTCGGCAATGTCAGCGAGGCTGTCAAGGAGACTGGCGCCGATGCCACCGCCATCTTCGTCCCGTACGTTGAGTCCACAATGTCGAATAGAAAGTCACTCGGAGAGTCAGGATGCTGACCTAGAATCCAAACAGCCCCCCTCTGGCCGCCGCCGGTATCGAGGAGGCTATTGCCGCCGAGATCCCCCTCGTCGTCTGCATTACTGAGGGTATCCCCCAGCATGGTATGCTCCCTTTGCCCTCTTCACACCCCTCTAAAGCTTCACTTTTGAAGCTTGAGGGGATTTGAAGCTTTGTAGCAATCTTGCAGCTCGAATACTCACCATCCCCCAGACATGGTCCGCATCACCAACATGCTGAAGACGCAATCCAAGACCCGCCTCGTCGGCCCCAACTGCCCCGGCATCATCGCCCCCGGCCAGTGCAAGATCGGCATCATGCCCGGCTTCATCCACAAGCGCGGCCGCATCGGTATCGTCTCCCGCTCCGGCACCCTCACCTACGAGGCCGTCAACCAGACCACCCAGGCCGGCCTCGGTCAGTCCCTCGTTGTCGGTATCGGCGGTGACCCCTTCAGCGGCACCAACTTCATCGACTGCCTCAACGTCTTCCTCAAGGACGAGGAGACGGACGGCATCATCATGATTGGCGAGATTGGTGGTTCCGCCGAGGAGGACGCCGCTGACTTCCTCCGCGCCAACAACACCGTCAACGGTGGCAAGCCCGTCGTCTCCTTCATCGCCGGGATCTCCGCGCCCCCCGGCCGCCGCATGGGTCACGCCGGTGCCATCGTCTCCGGCGGCAAGGGCGGTGCCGACTCCAAGATCTCCGCGCTCAAGTCCGCCGGTGTCATTGTCGAGCCCTCCCCCGCCGGCCTCGGCAAGGCCCTCTACGACGAGTTCGTCCGCCGCGACCTCTTGTAAAAAACCATAAACCACATCATATCTTCCAGACGTTGAAGGGGAAAGCTTCAGCTGTGTATGTAACATGTTAAAGAAGAGACCTTTGTGTTGAGAGCGTAGTCAACGGGATGGTCCCCTCGTATCGTTGCCGACGGATAACGGACCGCGCTGCTGCCTTGGCATTGTGCGGGTTGCGCTGAGTGCGTGTGCGTGTGTGTTTGAACATGTTGCCCCAAATAACTTGATATAGACTGGAGGTTGGGCAAGGAACAACAGGGCAAGCAAAGGAAGGAAAGTGGAAGAAATGGGAAAGTTTGAACAAGTTCCTCAAAATAATGCGGGTTCTCTCTTCCATTCACTCTCCATCTCCCGTTTTTGTATCTCCAATTCCCCAAGCTTATAAACATTTTTTATTTTTTTACCGCAAAGATATATGCAATGCTACCCGCTATCTCACCCCTCAGACCCCATTCGTTGTGCTTCGCGCCATCTCGGCATGTAGGGCCCTTGCCGTCGTACGACTCCCCATACGACCCCCGAGTACTGTGTAAAATCAACAAGGGTCCCGTCCCCGAACCCCGAGGGGAAGCGGCTTCGGCCCAGAAAAAATGGGGACCAGTATCCGGATCAAAGGAAAGAATGCAGCTTTCATGTTGGATGATGTTGATTTTGAATCGCCAACTACTAAAGCCGATGCGACGTCGGTATGCGAGAAGCATACGTAAGCTAGAGCTACCTGTGTATCTTACAGAAAACACCCTTGCTAAAAGCTGCTGGAAAGCAGTGATGGAAGAAGAGTAGAAGAAACCAAAAACGTCCCGCGTGCCCAAAACGCCAAAAGACCGCGATGCGGAACTGCCAGAGCCAAACGCTCAGGCAGGCAAATACTCCGTGCCCCGTTCAAACCAACCGTCCCTATTCCCGCCTGGATACCAGACATGCGACACGTTGCCGTCAAAGCAAAGAGATTCATACGAGCGCGCAAGCAGTGAGTTCTTCGAAGGCAGTATCCCGAGCTATTTGAGCCCAGATCACTCCGAATTTCCCCTACCGCAACGTCAACGAACCTGTCGCCACGAAAGCCAAAATTCCACTAATGCCCAACTCTAGATGTAGACCAACTCCAAACTTGATGCAATGCTGCTCGTCGTCTCATGATTTGCCATGTTCGTGACTTTGTACTCATATCGCCCTCGGATCAAACGAGGTGATGGCCCGGTAGCCCTCAACCTCGCTCGCCCATCGAGCGGCCTTTTGTCGGGTAGTCGAATCATTGCTCACCAAGAAGGTGGGCGGTGATGTCACCAAGGTATGCCTCCTCCAGCTCATAGTCCATGCCACCATTGCGGTCGATTCCAATAAAGGTGAAGGCCTCAACGACAGCATCGAGCTCGAATCCCATACCGACGAAGCGATCAATAAGATCCTTGTTGTAGCCGGCATACCTATGAACCCGTCAGCCTTGTCTCCTTAAGCGTGGTTTCTGTGCTGTAGACTTCGTTCAGCGTGCAGCCGACTCTTGGAAACAGACCTGTTGGCGTCATCTTCCTTTACTTCAGAAGCAACTTGCTTGTACTTTGTTGTGTCAAAATCCTTTGATGGTGCACCAGCGTACTTAACGGCCCACTCGTGTGCCTTTTTCGCAAAGCCCTCGGGGTTCTCCAGCATCATCTTGGCCACCTCTGCGTCTTGGGGGTCCTTGGGGTTCGGGAACTCGAGCAGCATACGGAGGGAGAGCAGTGCCGTCTTTATCGTCTGCACTGGAGACCAGCCACTGCCGAGTGTGTCGAGACAGATGGCGCCCTATTCCAGTCAGCATCTCTGGTACCAGTTGCGATGGAGGGCATGTGTGTAGTGGAAGACGGCGAAACAACCACCACAAGGCGATGGGGAAAAGACTCACAGTTTGACTGCTGACATTAGGGTGCCAGATCTTGGTGATAAACTTGATGGTGGGAGACTTGAAGGGGTAGCTGTCGGGAATCTTAATGTCGACTTCGTACAAGCCGCCGGCGTATGGTGTATCGGGTGGTGCGGGAAAGGAGCCCTTCAGGTGCAATAAGTTGGCCTCGTCGAGCGGCTGAGCAAACACTCCAGAGTTGTCCTTGTCGTTTCGAATGTCCATCAACTCCTTTCCGATCCGTCTCTCCCTGGGACTGGGGCCAGACATGGTGTAGGTATGTTGCGGGTTCGATGGGAGTTGTCGATGGGTATGTATTCTTAAGGTAGCAGTAGCGTGGGTAGTGGTGAGGACTCGAGACGTATACTTGAAGAGTATGTATCGTAGTTGATTTCGAGCCGTGTGATTCGAGATCGCGTTGTGTTGTTATTTGGTGTTTCTCGGGAAGAAAGCGAGGCAAAGTTATGTTGGTGGTGGTGTTGGCAAAAGACCGTTCAGTGTCGGAACCCAACTTCCAGTCGCAGCTTGCCTCGTCTGAGAGGAGAAGGAGAGCCCGGTGGACGTGCCCCTCCCCCCTTCAGCGACAGATGATGCTGGAATGGTCCGTGCCAGCCCACTACCGCACCTTAGCGCCCTGGGATTGTCAGGGCCGTCAGCCTCCAGGGAGCTGTTTGGCCCGCTGGAGGAGCTGAGGTGCGGGAGAAGGCGGGGTCGGGAACGGTGCAAGAGCACAAGACGTACCTTCAAGCTTAGGTAAGGCGAGGGAAGCAGCACCGGACCTGTCACTTTTACCGTCCGGTTACACCAACGATTCTCAATCAACATGTGTCATATTTTGAATACCCAAGGTAATCAAAGCAGATGAACAGCTTGCAACATACAAAGAAATTCATATCAGTCATATAGTCTTAGGAGATGTCGGGACTGAGGTTGACCTTGGCAGCCCAACCTACCAACCAACCAACCAGACGCCATGACCCTCGGTGTCACCGAGGCCTCACTTACACAAATGTGACAGACAGCCATCAGCCGAACTCTGTGCGAGGGGCGCCGAACTTTGGTTCAGCTTTGCTAGCGAATATGGCCTAGGTTTCCTGAAGTATCAATGCAATTCTAAATGATTCAGCGATAAACTGTCAGTGTCTACCTATTGGGTGTTGGTCAACATATTTAATTATGCTTTCTGCAGTCTACCCAGACTATTTTGCCTTGTAGGTGATTATTCGAGTACTACCTGTCCAACATATTGGACCCAGGAGAAATTTCCTAGGGCCGCTCTCAAGATACAGTCAAACTAGTTTCGCTCACTTTACAACCGATGTTCATTGATTCTAGTTGACAGGGTGGCCGGGGAAGGTGACGTGAAAATAAGGAGCAAATTGGCAAGTTCTAGATAGGCGTCCTTCACTCAACACACTTGACTCAAGAGCATCTCCATGACGCCTATGAATCGTACAGACTCTTCATTGCATACAGAAAATCATTGGAATCTGAGTTGGCTCCGTATGGAATGTTGTATTGGCAGAAGCTGGTGAGCTCCTCTGGTGTATTTCTCAAAGTAAGGTAGTCTTCTAAACGTCATCAAGCTGTGATTTGGTAAGATGAAAGAGAGAGCAACGCAAAACATGCTTGGGATCAACCAGCCAGTATTTACTCCAGTCAATGAATGGTGTTACTTCATAAAAACAAAATTCCGAGCAAGGCTAGGTAAGTATTCTTGCTCTCTATTCTCTATTTCCTGGCAGCTGTAATCCCAGAGGGTTAAGGGAGATGATCGAGCCCATACAGTTTGGGAGACTGACTCAGCAGAATCGCTTAGGTAATCGCGTCCATCGAGCACGTGATCAGACCCGCTCTTTCCCGATCCGGCCCAAGTGACACAGGGAAGCTGAGCGTCGCGTTTCCTGCCGCCTGCAGTGGTCCCCGGTGTTGCTACGCACTGATTACCTACGCAAGCAGCAGCAGCCTTGCCTTCCATTGCTCCCCTGCGCTTCCATCTCCATCTCCGGAACCCACCTACAACCATCATCATCACAAGCTCATTGACGACACCCCGACACCTCCCTGAATCAGAGGATCGCCCGATTTTCTTTCCATCAACACAAAAAAGACCTCTGCGCACTCCCACTGAGCTCTTGGAGCTCCTCGTGGCACAAGATGGTGAGCATCACTATCCGAAACGTGGCAGCCACAGTCTAACAGCTTCGTAGGGTCAAAACCAGTCAGGAATGGGTGGTGGAGGCGATGGAAAGGACGAAAAGGATAAGAAGGTATGTTCGTTGAATTCGAAATAACAACACAAAAAGGTGAATAGAGGCTGACTGGCGATACAGAAGGATAAGCCCAAGTACGAGCCTCCCCCACGCCCTACCACCAGAGTCGGTCGCAAGAAGAGAAAGGCGGCCGGCACCAGCGCCGCTGCGAAGCTTCCCGCCGTCTTCCCCACCAGTCGATGCAAACTCCGTCTACTACGAATGCAGCGAATCCACGATCACTTGATCCTTGAAGAGGAATACGTCGAGAACCAAGAGCGCCTTCGCAAGGCCAAGGCTGTCAAGGAGGGTGCTGCCGTTGGCCCCGAGGGTGATGTCGACCGCATGGCAGACGAGCGTGGTCGTGTCGACGATATGCGTGGCAGCCCCATGGGCGTCGGCACGCTGGAGGAGATGATTGACGATGACCACGCGATTGTCAGTAGCACAACTGGTCCCGAGTACTATGTTAGCATCATGAGCTTCGTCGACAAGGACCTGCTGGAACCTGGCGCCAGTGTCCTTCTCCATCACAAGAGCGTCAGCATTGTTGGTGTTCTGACCGACGATGCTGATCCCCTGGTCAGTGTGATGAAGCTGGACAAGGCCCCGACGGAGTCGTACGCCGATATTGGTGGTTTGGAGCAGCAGATCCAGGAAGTCAGAGAGTCAGTCGAGCTTCCTCTGCTGCATCCGGAGCTGTACGAGGAGATGGGTATCAAGCCGCCGAAAGGTGTCATTCTCTACGGTGCTCCCGGTACCGGAAAGACGCTGCTTGCCAAGGCCGTTGCCAACCAGACGTCTGCCACTTTCCTGCGTATAGTGGGAAGTGAACTTATCCAGAAATACCTCGGTGACGGTCCCCGTCTCGTTCGCCAGTTATTCCAGGTACGTTTGTCTTGATGACTTTGCCATGCCAATTGATTACTAACAAGCTTAGGTCGCTGGCGAGAATGCTCCCTCGATTGTCTTCATTGACGAAATCGACGCCATCGGTACGAAGCGTTACGACTCGACATCTGGCGGTGAGCGTGAAGTCCAGAGAACCATGCTGGAACTTCTCAACCAGCTTGACGGTTTCGACGACCGCGGTGACGTCAAGGTCATCATGGCCACCAACAAGATCGAGACTCTCGACCCCGCCCTGATCCGTCCCGGACGTATCGACAGAAAGATTCTCTTTGAGAACCCCGATCAGAACACCAAGCGCAAGATCTTTACGCTTCACACATCCAAGATGTCGCTCAACGACGATGTCGACCTTGAGGAGTTCATCTCGCAGAAGGACGACCTTTCTGGTGCCGACATCAAGGCCATTTGCTCAGAGGCTGGTCTCTTGGCTCTTCGTGAACGCCGTATGCGCGTCCAAATGGCAGACTTCCGGTCGGCCAGAGAGAGAGTCCTTCGCACCAAGCAGGAGAGTGAGCCTGAGGGCTTGTACTTGTAGTTTGTATGACGAGGGTACGGGACTAAGGCTAGACGGGACCACGATAGAGATAATGGCAAGGCATGCCTTGACGTTACTTGACGTTGACTTGGCATTGATTAACGACATGACATGGATCGATAATGTTACAGCCTGAAGTGATGACAACGCGACATGCGGTGAAGCAATAACCGATCATTAAAAAGTGTTTATTCTCCTCGCCCAACCACGACTTCTCGATTTCAAGACGGGCCAGCTACGGTAAGCATCGAACGAGGACCCTAAATTCGACCTCGATGAAATGCCGCCTGTTGGTGTGAAGCGTGTTGAGGAACGGAGGCCCTTAGTAAGATGCCAATCTCTCTCCGCATACTAACGGAAGGGTGCCAGGGCCTCAACGGTGAAATTGACCGCCAGCTTACAGAGCGGCAATCTCAATGTCAGAGGAAGCGTGCTGTCCAGATGAACTTTGTTCACGGCATTCGAAACCCAAGTGGTGAATGTGCAGCTTGACAGCCTCGGCCAGGCTCTTTCTTGCATTGTGTCAACTGAGGTCTAGACTTCACAGCCTCTACTCCGAAGTGACAGCATCCCTGACATGTGCGGCTGGCGAGCGTCAAGGTAGTTCCTGGCCAGCGAGGCGAAGTACCGGAAGCTTATTCTCTCATTTGATTCCCCACTCTTGCATTGTGGATTGTTGATATGATAGTTGCAAATACTAAGAATTTGAGAAAGCAAACTCGTAATATCTTGATATCGTGCTATAGGAGATTATTTTGACAGTCTATATAATGTTGCGCGCCATAATCCGTAACCCCAAATACAAGAGAAATGATGCTCAATCTACAGAGATCTTTCAAGCCAAGGCAAATTCGTTGGAGAAATCCGTCCAGAAGACAAACCATGCTGGGGCAAAGAAGCCGAACCACAACTTAGTATCCCGCCCGTCTGAGCCTCTCCTTCTCATCCAAAACAGGCTCCTCTTCAACATCCTTGGGCGCGTTCGTAATCCCCTCCTCTCCACCACCATACGAGTTCAAGTTCAACTGCGACGCCACAGAAGGCGTATACGCCGGCGCAGGCACATCATCATCCTCCATCGGCGGCGGCGGCGTAGCATCCCCCGGCGGCCCCATCATCGCCACCTCCCTCGCAATAGCAGGATCCATCGAATACCGCCCCTCCAGCGCCATCAGCGTCTGCCAAAGCGGCATCGACCCCTCGGGCCACTCGGCCTGCGTCTGCAGAATCTTCTTGGCCGAGATGCGGCGGTCCGCGTAGGCCACGCTGTTGCAGTCTTGTCTCGCGAGGATAATTGTCCCGTCGATCTGCACGCCCGCCCAGAGGCCGCGGGACTTCATGTAGCTGTACATCGGTCTCGCCGTTTTGGAGACGGCAGCTTCCACTGCGCCGCCTGTGCCAACGGGCCCGATGGCGACGGAGGCTTCTGTGCCGAGGGAGACGCGCGGGTGCGTGAAGGCTGCGACTTGGGCTGCGGTGTTGAGGACGAGGACGCAGTCGTAGATGTCGAGGCCGAACATGAAGCCCGCGCCGAGGGTGGACACGACAAACGACGAGGGGGGGGACCAGGTTCCATCCGGTCTGCGCGCCACGACGATGCCGGAGCCGGCGGCGAGGGAGCCCATGTAGGCGCCCGCGCGGAGGGTGTTGAAGATGGCGAGGCCGGCGCAGTGGGCGAGGACCTGGTGGGGGATGGTGACCATGGAGCGGCGGGTGATGCCGAGCGGGTGGAGGGGACCTTGGGTCTTGGGGGGTTCCGGGCCGAGGTCTGTGAAGGCGTGGAGGATGCGTGCTGCTTTTGCGCACTCGCGGGGCATGGTTTGCGGGAACCAGCCTTCTGCGCCGACGAGGTTTGCGGCTTTGTTGAAGGGGATGCCGGCTGTTGTTGTTATCTTGTGGAGATTTGCGCCGAAGCCTTTGTTGGGGGGTTTCACGGCGGGAGGTGCTCGCACGGTGTTGGTGGTGGTGTTTGTGCGGGTTCGGTGGAGGGAGGAGAGGGTGCGGGTGAGGGAGAGGCGGCGGGAGATTGTTGAGCGGGCTGAGGAGGAGGAGGAGGGGGTTGAGTGGAGGGAGTGGGTGTCTGCTTCGGCTTCGTGGGTTTGGGAGGGAGCCTGGGAAGGCTTGGGTTCTGTGGTGAGGGTCATGATGGTGTTGGTAGGTGGTGGTGATGTTGAAGTTGTGGTGGTGTAAGTCGATGTTGGGATATCGTGATATCGGGTGTGCTGGGTATCGTTTTGCAAGCTTTGACCTACTACGAATCTTTGCTTGTCTGCTGTGTTTGATAAAATAGATAGAAAACAATCTCAACTTGAACGGTGCTCATGAGCATGATATATACATCATTCATCTCATACACACACCTCACTCGAGGCGTGGGCAAGTGGGAGGCGTCATCAGGGATCGCCCCTTCAGCCGGACCAACAACCTCCAGGCCGGAAGCCGGGATGACGCTGCAGTCGCGCGTAGCTCTTAGCTCTCGCCAAGTCTGCGAGCGAGAGTAGCGTGAAAGATGCAAAGGGGAGGGGCCGAGAAAGAGGTCTCGCCTCGCGAGGAAGGGTTCCAAGACGGCGAGAGGTGAGACGGTGACCGGGGAAGCGTAGTAGGGAATGAGACCGACGGGCCAATGGGAATTTGTCCGTTGGAAGACGAGGTGGTGATTGCTTGGTGATGGTTCATGCTTCTTGGCGTCTGGGCGTCCGGCTGGGCGACAGACGTCTACGAGACGGGAATGTACGTAGGTTATGGTCGGTATATGGATTCACTCGGAGGCGGAGAGACTTGGGCACGGAGTGAAGGGAGGACCAAGACGGATGGGATGCGTAGTAAACATAGATAGCTATGTGGAGATCGGCATTGTGAATGGCAGCGGTAAGGACGCGGGGAAACCAATCATCCCATGTCGAAGACTACTTACTATGGTTGTACAAAGAGAAAGAAAGCTTGGGTTTGTGTTATTCGTTTCATGTGACTGCTGCTTCCAGTCCAGCCCCTCAGGGCTCTGAGAGATGGACTTGAGATGGGATGGAATGCGGTGCCTTACTCCAGCTCTTCCCCCCCCCCCCCCCCATCTTCCCAGGAACTCAACCGACAAGGCAGCGGTGGCGCAGCAAGAGTGAGACGGAGAGTTTGGCAGCATCTTGTGGTGTGTCACTGTCAGAAACGCGCAAGTGTCCTCGCGGTCTTGAAAAAATTGCCTAATAGTTGGGTATCAGTAGGAAGCTTGGCTAAGAGAACCAAGCTGATCCTATCCTACGCTGATGCAAATTTTCTACCCATTGTAAGACAAGCAGTACGCGAATCGGTGGAATTTTGAAGTCCTCGCGGTGATTCGAGGTGGCCGAAGTTAACGGCGGGAGGCCGAAGCGCGGCGGAAGAGCGAGGTGGGGCGCGGGATGGCGCACGGGCTACAGGCTCACCGCGCAATGCTAGCTAGAGCCCTAATCGCCCTTAGCTAACCATCAAACAGTCTCTATGGCTCAGTCGGTAGAGCGTTGGTCTCATATTAAATTCATATGACTCTAGATCATCTAGGGGTTATCCAAAGGTCGCAAGTTCGAGCCTTGCTAGGGACATTTGCTTTTGCTTTTCGTTCTACTTTGCATCGTTTTTGAGTTGCTACTCAATTGAACCCATTTTTGACTCTTTTTTGCGTTGTTGCTGTGCCGCGGGGGCCTCGCATCCCGTTCCTCATATCTCGGCACTGCTCGCAAAGGTCCTCAACATGAACATGAGACAGGCCGTTGCGTATGTGGCTGGTTGATGGCATAACTAAATACTACCTATTGAGTTGATGGATGTTAATTGCTGGGGCTCCAATGTTTCACGTGGTGTCATAAGGACTGCCAGATTGTTTCTTTCAATGAAATTGTTTTTGCAGGTCAACGGTGTTGTACCTGTTTCCTCCCCTGCCTAACTCTCTTCATAGGTTGGCGTAGCTCAAGTGCTGACCTACATTGCCCATGCTCCCCAGGCTCCCTCTATGCCTCCCTCTATGCAATGCCGCCATATTGATGGATTCTTTGAAGCCTCAAGCATTGCGCGTTGCATCGCTCGATGACTGTAACTGGCCCATTGTATGAATTCACGAGTCCTTTACTGCGTAGTGCCGCACATGCAGCTGGTACTCTAACCGGGTCGACCTCTCAGTCCGAACGAGGCCATGTTGTCTCGCGGACACCCAGGCCGCCACATCATTCTTGCCGGGCAAAGCTGGGCCACAGCCGAAGCTCGGCCTATGCCTATGCTATCCAAGCGAGCGAAGCGTATTCCTGCCCATCTTGAGCCGTCGTGGAGAAGTTGTATCGCCAGAATCTCTCGCTACGTCATCGCGTGATGGTGTGCAGATGCAGCCTGAGAAAAGGGCCTTCCGTGAGAGGACCGCCTTTTCATGAGAGACTCAGTTGGGACCATTCCGGTAGACTGATCAAACACCCAGGTAGTCTAGTCTGAACCGAATCCTCGAGCGCGTCATGCTGGTGGCTCGCCCAACCTAAAAAGGTCCAGCTTGAAGTTGGCGGCAGTGGGTGGCTGCGTCCTAGGTACGCTCTCAATCGGAACTGGCTTGAACGGCTCAACCTGCCGAATATCAACACCCTCTCGGATACACCTCAGAGGCCACTGAATCCATTCCCTCCATGGCTCCTGGATAGCTTGATCCAAAGCTGAGGCGACGTTGTTGCCCCAGCCAACAAGATACCACATGTTCCGCTCAAATGCGTGCACAAGTGCAGCGTAGTGCATGAGAATGACGAGGGCCATGGGATGGTTCTGGATCATCAGCTCGAGGAAGGGCTGGGGGAGGGAGACTGCCCAACGCCAGACTAGACCGGACCTGTGTTGCGGGGCGGAGACTGCGGCAAAGGTGATTTTGAGGCCCTCAAGGGCGGATTGGCAGGTTGTTGTGTCGTCTGAAGGGGCCATGCTTCGTGTGAGAGTGAGGAGGTCGTCGATTTTCGAGGCAAAGTTGCCTCCGACGGCAGGTTCGACGCCGCCTTGGTAGAGCCAGCGGGCCAATGGGCCGTTGGAGATGTAGCGGTGGGCAAAGGGGAGTGTGAGAATGCTCTTGATGCCTGGGACGAGGTCAGTATGACAGAGGCGTGAGATGGGTGAAGCACCAACCTTGTAGTAGGATGAAGGACTGGGCGACGTCCTTGGATGTGATGGGCCCGTGGGGGTTGGCGATGGAGTAGGTGTTGAGCAGGAAGATGCATATTGCGTGGAGCACATAGGCGTCTGCGTTGTTCTCGCCAATCTCGCTCAGTCCTGGCGAGAACTGGCTCAGGGCGATGTTCTGATGGCGTGCTGATAAGTTGGCATACTCGTCTCTTTTCTCGGGATTGATGTGCGCTCTGTGAATAGCTGATACGGCGAGGATACCGTGGAGGAGAAAGTCCTGGATGGCTTAGTTGAGTGTAAAGATGGATGTAGAGAAATACTTGCGTTGGCGAATGCAATCTGAGGAACCGTCGTAGTCCACAGATGTACAAAGTCTGGATTCTCAGAGAGAGTATGAGCCGTGTTGGAGGTAAAGTGATGGACGAGTTGCATGTCGGTGAGCCAGTCAGCTTGTGAAATACTCTGAGAGTCTCCTGAGTCTCCATGACTTGAGCCATTGGCCGGGCTGGAGTAGTTATCATTGCCGTTTTGGTTGAGGGCATCTACTTCAGCCGTAAACTCTGACAGCAGCCCCTGGATGGCGGCGACCTTGTCTTTCAATGAAGACAATTGAGGTGATGGTCTCTCGCGCCGGCTGGCTGGGCGACTGGCCGTCGAGGCTTCCCCTATACTGCCCGGTGTTGCTGTACTCGCGGCATCTTGGGCCGGTTTTGGTGATTCGGTCACGGCAGGAAGCTGAGGTGCGAATGGCGTCAGGACAAGACTGCACTTGACGTCGTGCCGTACGCAGTTGCGACATGGCCGACTCTCATCACACTGGACGTTTGTTAGTTACCGATTGGAGTCACCATGAACCTCACCAGTCCCCAGTCTCAAGGGGATGGCTTGGCGTGGCTTGCTGCAGAGACCAGGGCCCTGAATAAGGGGAACCGAACTGACCTTGACACGCCGTTTCTTGCACTGCTGACACCCATTCCTCGACTTCTTGTGACCTATGCGTGTTCCGCGGATCGCGGTGCCCATCTTGGGCCGTTCAGCGCCGTTCTCCAGAGCCGTCACTTCGTCCTTGAGTGAGGTGGTGGACCCTTTCCTTTCCGGCGCGCCGTTCATGGCATTGGCGTCGGTCTCCATATGGAGTACGGGTACGGGTACGGGTACGGGGTACACCTTTCAGAATGACGAGCACCGCCGGGGAGTCACCGTTTAACTCGTAAGTGAGAAGAGTTTGATCCTTTCTTCCTCTCTCTCCCTCCTACATTCCCGGGGACTGTAATGAGATGTCTCAAGGGCTGTTTTGGCGCTTGGACAAAAGAGATGCAGTCCGAAGATGGACTATTGTCTGATCCCCAAGCTCGGTGGCGCCGCTCTTCATACTGCCGGGCTGCAGGACGCAACTAAGCCAACGCCAACAGCCAGCCCAGTTCCAAGTGCGAGAGTCGCGCGGCCCGGGGCCCTACAGGCTGCGGTTAATGGATCGGGACCCATGCACTCGCAGATGCAGATGGAGCATGCGCAACACGGTCGGTGGGATCTGATCTGGAGTGCGTCGATGACGAGTAACACAGATGCGATTGAGATAATGCGAGGGCGGTGTTTACAATAGAAGATTGATGGAATCGATAGCTTGACAGATTTTTTTGACAGATTTCTTGACAGATTCAACGTTGCAGGTGTCACAGATGAAAGGGTCGCGAGAGTCGAGACTGGCAGGGACTTGGGGACCGGCAACCTTTCCGAGTTGCTCCTGGCTCCTGCTCTCCTGGAGATTGGAACCGCTGGCAGGCAGGTGGTCCTCAGGCTGGCGGTTCCCCGCCGTTCCGCATCGGCCGAAACAGCACGTGACCGTATCTTTCGAAACGGTGAAGTAAAGAACGGACGGAGAGAAAGGTCCTTCCGTTTCGTGCAGATCTGCGCACGGGTACTTTGTCGACGGATGACCCAAGCTCCTGCCTCTTTGTGGGGACGATGAGTACGTACTGGATAGCTCCATCCATCAGGGTCGATGTGGCTGATGCTGCAACGTGTGGCTTGCGCGCCATTTTCCTTCTTCTTCCTCTACGGGGCAGGTACTTCTCCAGAGCCCAGGGACAAGCTGAACGCAGGCACGCAGTGCTCAATTACGACCTGCATGACGCGCCCCGGCGGAATGCGACTTGCCGTCCTTTCCTGAGGGTGGTGAGGTCAGGACTCAGGCAGCTTGTATCCGTACCTCCAGCTTTCCTCATGTTCTTCAGCCAAAGAAAGGAGACGTCAGAAGTGTTACTGTCAGCATCTGCTGCACATCCAATTGTCCATCGCCGGATGTAGCTCTTAGCTTCTTAGCTTCTTGCATCCATCCAGACACAAGTGCCTTCGTCATTCGTCCGGCACACTCCCCGGGCCTGCCGCTTGCCGTTCCCGAGCTACTTGTACCAAGTATTCCGTCGCATAATCGCTGCGCTGCGCTGCGCCAGTGTCTCTTCCGTGTCTCCCTGCGAGCGCCTACCCCTACCATTTGACCGACCCCTCTCGAATCGCAGTCTCCCGTTCATCCCTAGGAAGCTAAGAAGAGGCGTCAAATTGCAGATTGAAGAAAAAGGGGACTATCCCGACGAACCTCCTCCAAAGTCCCGATTGACAATCCCTCCACCTTCAACATCACTGACGCCCCAAATACGACCAACGAACGTCATCCGTCCTCTACCATAAATCCCCAGAGCAATTGCCCACCATGGCATCGCACAGCGACTACAACGATAACAAGACTTCGGCCAAGGAGAACGCCGCTGGCGTCTATGCCTACGGCCAGCGACAGATCAATCGGGTCGTCAGCTCCGACACCAGACAGAGAGCGTACGGCAACGCCTACAACTTTGCTCAGGAGCAGCCATTCCTCTTTGTACGTGGAGCCCGTCCATCTACCACTTGATCTCGTGCCAGAAGATAATGCTAATGAATCAATTACAGGCCTTCATCCTCTGCCAATTCATCTTTTCCTTCCTCCCAATCCTCGTCTTCGTATCCTTCTCCGCCTCGACCATCGCCTTCGCTCTCGGTGCCGCTATCGTCTTCTCCCTCTTTTGGATTGGCATTGCCCTCCTTGTACTCGTCCCGATCCTCTTCTTTACCTGCTCGATTGGTGTTCTCGTTTGGATCTGGGCTGCCGGCAGCTTCGTCGTCGCGAAGCGTCTATATGAAATGTCGCCGATCCGGGCCAGGGGTGATCTTGAGGTAGATGCTCCCAACGGGAAGACGTATGCAGTCACCAAACGCGAGGATGGCATTCATACACATGCCCACAACTAAATTGGGTCGGTTGTGTAAGACCATATATGTACTAGGTATCACCACACTGCGACGATTAACGGCCGCTTTGGCGTTGGGAAGGGTACGGATATCAGGAATGGGTCTGGGAAAATGGAGTCTTTCAAAAGGGATGGGCACACTCCCCATAGGATTGTTATTTCAATTTTCACACTTCTTTCGCTCATCGGCTTGGTCCACTGTGACTGCCATTTATTCGCCAGTGCTTGTTCCTAGGTGTAATAGCAACTCGTCACCGTGCTCACCATAGTTGGGGATATGCTGCGACCCCAAAGCTGCAATGTATGTCGCGATATTTCCCCAACCATCGCTCAGAATGTCTGTGCATGAACCTTGAAGGCGAAGTGAGGACAGAGTTGCTCACGACCGCGTCGACTACAATCCGATTCAAAAATAGCAATCTGCATTATATGGCCATATTCAAACACATCAAAAATGTAAAAGAAAACATTGGTGCCAACACTGTGGATCGAACACAGGATCCCCGCATTACAAGTGCGATGCCTTACCACTTGGCCATGCTGGCGAATGATGTTCCATTTGTTCCAGAATTGTCAATATATATTCACTCAGTCATCCATCCAGTAATAGCAATAGTAACTACTTGAATAGGCGTTCAATCTCGAAGCATCTGCATTCATACACTATTATGTGCGCTTGCACCTCCACATCCCAGAAGCAGAATGTGGCAGGAACGCACCTCAGCGATGATCACCTACTCTGGCTGCCATAACGACTTCCAAGTTGATGCTACAATAACTTATAGAACCTGCATGCCCGGTTGTGAGTGGCCGGGTTGGTTGATGCAGGAGAAGACCTCGCCAACGCACGCTGCTGTGAAAGTCCAAGTTCTATTGGCTTTGCACCAGCCGAGGCAGGCTTGACCCAGTTGTCACACAGAGTAGATGGAGAGGAGCAGGATGCAAAGGGTTGGAAGGCTGCCTCAAAGTTTCACCGCATTTTTCGCCCTTCACATTTTCCGTCCAAGCCAGCCGTTGTTGATTCTCTTTGTGTTTCCTCAAAGCAGGATGCCGTAAAACCGAGCATCAACTCACCCAGAACCATCATTTCCAAGTCAGAATACGGCAATCATCATCAGTTTCATCACCATGACTCCCCCACAGCCGCGAGGAACCATCAATAAGAGCCGCTGGCATGCAGACTGGTGCATGTCACCTATCATTCAAGTTGGGGACGATCAAATCCCTCGATGCGAGAAATGTCAAACCTCGGCTCACGCTCGACTCAAGACGGCGGACCGGCCACATCCTGTACTTGTAGCACCAAAGGACGAAGAATATGGGAGTCTCAACCTTAGTTGGCCACCTACAGTCACGTTCACCTCCGGGGGAAATGCAACCCATTCGCCAGCTGATAAGAGCAAGGATGATTAAGGAGCTCGGTCGGCTTCAGGTTCAACTTCTGATTCACCCGTTGCCGATCAGGGCATCGATACTGCGCTTTCATTGGATGAGTTCCGCCTTGCAGTTCTCTATGCGGCCGGGGACAAAGGCAAATCGTATCCCATACATGTGGACTTGGAATTACACAAGGATACACACTTCCCTGACTATGACGCCGTGTCGTATACATGGGGCGACGAGAATAGCGACGCCGAACGGTAGATGAGCATCTTTGATGTCCCGGTATACTTGAAACTCACTAACTTTCGAACACAGTTGTCAACCAGTCTACGTTGGCGATCACTGGGACATAATCTTTCAAACCAAGAATTGCTGCGACATGTTGAGATATTTACGATCATCTCGAGGGATGAAGCTGCTCTGGGTCGATGCAATCTGTATCGACCAGAACAATACGGACGAGAGAGCTACGCAAGTGGCAAAAATGAATCAGATCTACTCGAGATGCTCGCAAGTATGGGCTTGGATGAGCAGTGATTTGGTATCGGATAATCTGGAAGGCTTGCCCGAGCGACGCTGGCTCCATGAGCTTGGAACAGCGCATGACTATGCTGTGACGTCCTCGCAAAGCCAGCCAATCCCGAATATCCTGTAGCTATTGAAGCGGAGGTACTTCGGTCGACTTTGGATCATACAGGAGTTGGTGTTCGCTCCCCGCATTCTCATTCCAATTCGGGATGTAATTTTCGCAGCGGATCATACCACGGCTCACAAGCTGACAAAGTCGGAAAACGACTCCTCAAACAAGACCAAGGTTTATTGGAAGAACACAGAAGCGCCTTGGTTTGAGTACATTACCCAAGGACATATAAACGCCACTGGCCTCTGGGAAATGATGACACTTACGTCCAAATCGCGCGCTTCAGACCTTCGGGACAAACTGTACGGCGTTCTCGGCCTCGTTTCCTTGAGAAACAATTGCAACCTTCTGCAACCTAATTACGACATCTCAGCCCGTCAGATGGTTATTGGGTTCATTGCGCACTGCGTGGTCAACGAAAGAAAAGTCCATCTTTTCTTGGCTGCCCAAGGCCATACTGCCTAAAGTGATCCATCTTGGCTTCCAGCTTGGGAGACACAACGATCTTGGGAACAGTTATTCGTGGAGTCACGCGATCTGCCGGATAATGGCAACGTCAGAGTTCAAAGGCGCTCACGTCATCGACCCAGCCTCGCGATTGTCAAGTTTCCTCTTGCCCCTGAAGACGAAAAGGTTAGATATTTTGTCTCTGATACGGACACAAGAATTTCGTTCAGATCTTACAGCCTATCCACAAAGACTCCTCTGAAATCACGATTAGACGCTTTGAAGGGAGGCTCGAGCTTTCGGGAGAGACACCTTTGCCAAGTATATCCTTGGTATCGGGACTTTAATGTCGACTCCAACACAGGATCCATCTCACTGTGGCTGACAAAGCTAGCATCTATCAGCCCAGCTCCCGTGGAGGCCCTAGAAGAGCTCTTTGACGACATGACCCTGTATAAAATCCACTCTGGCTCAGGCGAGACGTTCTTGGTCGGAAGCCCGCACCCAATCGATAGGTTTTTAGAACATGACGACGAGCTTTTCGTCCTAGATCCTGAAATAGGTCTCGGCGGATCCAAGCCCAACAGCCTTATTTACATGGTTCTTAGAAAAAGGGGCGAGGGGATTCACAGATTGGTGACGTGTTTCACGTACCTGTATTTCTGCCCTAAGCCATCGCTGCGCTGCCCTGTAGGCATACAATATCTTACGGTTATCCAAGAAAATGTATATCTGGCCCGGCAAAAAGTCCATATTCAAAGTGTCACGAGTTATGGTATATAGCAATGGGCATACGGAGTATAGTAAAGTGGCCTAACTTATTAAAATAGAAATAAATAAAAGAGAAAGGTCTATATATAGGATATAAATAAGATATATATAATATAGTATATAATAAATACTTTATAAATTGCAGTCCTTATTTTTGTTATGTAATATACCCTTTAATTATTATTATAAAGGAGCTATTATACTTAAAATAGGACCTCCGAATAGCTTTATAAAAGCCCGATTTAGTTAAATATAAATAAAAGAAAAATAAATATAAAGGATACGCGTTTTTTAGAGCGCGTTTATTATTAATATTTCCTTTATTTAAAATAAATAAAATCTTAACTAGGAATAGCGTATAGTTTACTATTTCCGGTATATAAATTAATAAAAGCGAGGCTATTTATTTACTTTATATATATTTAAAATCTTATAGCCTCGCTTTGTTATTATTTTTTTTTTCTTTTTAACTTTTTATAGTTATTATATATACCCTTATTTACTATATACGCACGCTAACGCTATTAAATCCTTTATTAATTTTATTTTAAATATAAATATTTAATATATTTATAGTTATTAATAAGTTTTATATAATTTTTATAATATATTCTATATATATATTATATAGTTTATTAAAAGTTTAGTTAAATAATAATAGCGACGAGGCCCTCGTAATTAAGTCCTTTCCCCGCCCCGCTAACCTATCTTTTTTATATATTAGGGCCCTATTACTAAGCTCTCTTTCTTTAATTAAAAGACGTTAAAGCTATTATTAAAAATATTAAAAACTTTAAAAAGTTCGAGGCTTTTTTTAATAATAAAAACGTAAATTATAATAAAAATATAAGTAGTTATAAAA